ACATCGGCACATGTATTCTTTTTGAAGCGAGTAATCAAAAATTCTTCAGGAAGTCAAATTTTGAGAGAAGCATAGTGTTTTCACCAAAATTAGAAAGAGCTTATATAAAATATATTTCTCCATTTTTTTTAGAAAATGTAGTTGCAGAACAGTACGTAGCTCTCTGCTTGAGAAAATTTAGACTGATTTCAAGAAGTCAAAAATTTGAAAAAGTAGTGTTTTTACCTGAAAAAAAAAAAGGAATACAGTAGTTTACATAAAATATATTCTCATCAATTTTTGGATAAAACGTAGCTGCAGCTCTTTGCTTGAAAAAATTCGGACAGCTAAAATCTACGGTTCTGCAGCTAGGAGAAAAACGCAGCAAGACATTTGAAAAATTTTTAATGTTTTTTGGTACTTAAAATAAGGTACTAGTATAGTCTGTGTGAGTGTGTGTCGTGGGGGATGTTACATTTTACTAATGTTTGCAATGTCTTTTTTTTCGGTGGGGATGTGGGGTGGGTGGGGGTTGTTTTGCTTCAGTGTGATTCCTTACTTCATATAGTTTTTACGATATGAGGATGTATGTAAATACTACATGTATTCGATGCACTAAAATTAAATCTGATTGAAATAAGATCTTTTGATCCGTTCGCGTAGATCGCTACACAAGGTAGCGATCCAGTGAGCGAATCAAAGGATCTGATTTTAATCATATTGCATTAAAATTATTAATTACGTGTCAGCCTTTTCTAATATATCATATATATTTAAATTTTTGTGTCGTATTTCAAGCTATAGATTAAAATTGATGATATAATCAACCGACAGTAGCCAGAGCTTGTGACAGTCGTCAATGTAAGTAGGATTTTTTTTTCTGTACTGATTAAATTACTCATCATTCTACCCACTGCAGGCAAATTTTCATGATTTTTTTTTAAATATTAAATTTATCTGGTGTATAAAAATACAGTATACGTGAACTAAGCTTTCATTCTGAGTGCATATCCGAGGGGAGGGGGGCCCGGGCTCCCAATGTATTTTTTTTTTCAGGTGAATTGTAACATAAAGATACCACGTAAGGCCAAAATAAAATTATAGTTTGTTTGGAATTGCCTCCCGCCTCATTGAAATGCCCCCCTCCTGAAAAAATTTTATTGACCAAAAGTAGGAAGATTTTTTTTTTATTTAATCAATTTTTTTGCCCATTATTCATGTATCACATGCACCATACAAAACATCGAAAGACAGAGTTAGATCTATGTAAAAGTTTAGAATTTTTGTTGATGGTAGATACTTTTTTTAAAAGTCAGAAAATGTTTTTACTTTTTACTAAGATTTTTATCAAAAATTTTAAATTTATCATCAATTTAAAAAAATAAAAATAATTTCCCTCCCTCCCTCCTGTGTCTGAAACCCTTCAGGCGGCAATTCCAAACAAACAATTTTTTAAGGATGGCCTAAAGTATTATACGTTTGAATATTGACTGTGAAAGAATCTTAATAGATTCTATAGAGGACTTATTGATATATACTATATAGCTCTGAAATATAACCCTCAAACTTTTACTAAGCATGTACATTGTATGTGAGTACTTGGTACATCTTTTTCACACTCAGAAATATGTGTCTAAAAATCATGACAAAGCTGCTTCACGAGAAGTATAGTACACTATGACTTAGACATTAACATGATTAAAAACAGGATAAACAAGATAAGCACCACTTTCCACATTTTTAATTGGAATATCTACTTTTCTACTCAAAACTCTTCAAACAAACTCTATATCGTTTCCCTATACAGTGTTGTTAAGAGAGGCATAATTAACTGTATACTATATTTAAAAGATATAATGATATACAGGACAAAATGAAAGATGAAACCTGTTATTACAATGAATGAAGTTTGTGTACCTATCAATTTTATCGAAATTTTCATTAAATTAAAAACTACGTAATACATACAATATTATAGATATTACATATGTACATAGTTTTTTAATTTACTGAAAATTTCGGAAAAATTGATCGGTACACAAAAATCTGTGCATAAAGTTTTACAATGATCTCTTGCATGCAACCGTTAAAAACTGTTCTGCCTTTTCCATTATTAGAACCTTTAGTGTATCTTCACATGTATAATTATTTATCGAGTGATATTGTATTACTACAAACATAACAAATGTCCTTTATGACTATATATATGTACACGAGACTAATTCCTAGGCTAGAAATAATGAATGAAATCAAGTTCATTGAGATAAAAAGGAAAAATCTCATTCAGTTATTCTTAAAGACATGCGAGATTTATTACTCGGTGACTTGTCCCATGTTCTCTTGTATTTCTTATAGGCAAAAGACTTTTCTACATTGCACAATAAAATTTTACACTTTTATTTACAATTTCGTATGAAATAGAAATAAAAGTCAATCTGTCCTACATTATGTGATTAATTCAATTATTCTTATCATAATATTAGACCAAGCGAGTCATTGAAAACTTAAAATATGCCTGAGTCAGCCTGAGCATGTATATCCCCCTTCCTAGTTGATTAAGAAAAGCAAATTTTTCTCATATGTCTTCACTTCCTCCTCCTTAAATACTTTTTTCCTGAATGAAAGAGACAAACATCTAAATCTTAAAAATAAACTACATCATTTTTATAGATCTATATAACATCCTATACGCCATACAATTTTCTTAAAATCCAAAATAGAAACATTTCCGTCAATATGTAGAGGGGTTCTAAAAAGAATGTCATGAAAAATTGCTATTTGTTTTTTTAAACTAATATTACGAAAATTCAGCAGTATTCTACATTGCCTAATACTGATTCTTATAAGCTAAGATCTCTCCTATTTCCCCCATAGATAATAGCTAGAGTACATGCAAACAAATACAATATCATGTCATTGACTCTTTCCAGCGAAACCATTTTGTGTGAAGAAAAAATATATTTAAAAAAAAAATTGACACGATTAAATTCACTGCATGGTATAAATATTAACCTAATATGTCACTTCCTTATTATGATTTCTACATAGTCTAGCCACGAATATATCGCAGTAAATGATGGATTAGGCTAAAATAGAAATCTATATCCTGCTTTTAAAATACACATAAATTCCAATGATTCTGTTAAAAAATATATGTACATAAAAGATTACATATAATGTTCATTTGTATTGTGCGTAAGTTTGCCGTTTTTTAAAGGGGGGAGGGTTGGAGTGGAAGGGTGTGGGTGTTTCCTTTGTTTGTTTGGTTGATTTTTTTTTGTATAGTAAATTTTTTAGTTTTGAAAGCATGGCAAAAGAAACACACACTTCAAAACTAATGTCTTGGCTTTAATTAAAAAAAACAACCAAATCCTTTAAATTTTTTACAAATGATGACGATATTAAACTAAAGCATACCATGGCCGATTTAATTAATCTGAATACTATTCTGTTCATTATAATATGTTCGTAATATTTAAGAAAATTGTTCTGGAGGTAATATTCATTTTTGGCAACTATTTTTGTGTTTTCATGAACAAGTTAGTATTTTTGTGTTCAATCCAATCTGATTAAAGTAAAATGAGTTGTGTCCCTTTCCAGGGTAACCGTTAATTATGCAACCATAATTATAACCAAAACAAATATGGATAAGACACTGTTTTAAACAAAACCTTCGGAATATGGGTAGCCCTATCCCTGGGTAACAAAAAATGGCAATTTTAAGTGATTGGGGTTTTAAATGTGAACCAACTTTAAAAAGCAGGCACTTTTTAACCTTTATGCTGGCCAGTCAGGGGACATAACTTTTCAAACGTTATGATGCCATCATCGGTCAAAGGACCCGCTAACTGCGACAAATAATCACCATAATATAAGGAGTCAAATAGTTAAAATCATAAAAGGTTTGTTTAAAAAACAGTTTTGTTTTCCTATCCTGTTTTTCATTTAAAGTTTGAAGACCTACATGATGTAGGCTATAGCGTTTGTTATCTGTCAATAGTCAGAAAATGCTTCATATGACGTCATATCACTGATATCGTAGATTTACTTATCAACATGATCAAATGGTCAGCGAGTTTTGGAATCTCAACACTCCCTCCTACCTCCACGCACACTTACACAATCTCGCACACTAGTGTTTTACGCTTTCAGCATATCGCACTCATATACATTCCCCCCAAAAAGAAAATCTACGAGGACTGCGAGGTTAATAATGGTACACGAATAAATACTTACTGGCTGGAAAATGGCTGTGAATGAGTCAAATTGTCGTGAAAACAGTGATAAATATACCATTCCAATTGCTACAGATGCCAAAGCGATAATCTGTATCTTTCTACTCATTATGCAATAATACGAGCGTTCTGTATTCATTTGCCAAACTCTAATCCCTCACATCAAAACAGAACACAGGGTCACGTGGTAATCAATGCTCTCCACATCTACATCGTCGTATAAAAATCTCAAAATTGGGGAGAAAATCGCTTATGATGAAATCAGAATAACAATAAAAAAACGTGTGAAAAATAGCTGATGCTGACATAGAAAATTCTGAAGGAAAATGGCTACAACCATATTAGATTACATGAATTACATATATCCATCGCCTATCTAAGCACCAGTTTAGCGTATACTTGAACTTGTTCACGGGTACTGGGCATTAAATTTTTCTTAACACCAAAATTCATCCTCAATAGTCTAAAAAAATCACAGTAGTATGGAGAATTTTTGTAAAAGATACTTGATCACTTCAATTTTGTTGACAGTACAATCTACTACTGAAACTTCACTTCAAATGCATGACACTGTGTACTTTCTGAATAACAGAGCTATATTGTAGGCGTATGTTAGAAAGTCATTATGCACATGCATGTATTTCACAGCATAGAGGTTAGAACTACTGACGTGTGAAAACAATTTGGAAGGAGACTTTACCATCATGACTTGTATATAATCTCCTCCATACTATATGAGATTGAGAGGAAAAAACCACGAAACATACACATAAACAAATTACTTACTGGCTTATAAAAGTCAAATTTCCTTTCAAATACTGCTACATGTAAATAAAATAAAGTTCCAATTAATAACAATGTCAAGATAATCGTTCCTTTCGCCTTGCTCATTTTGTGTGGCAGTCACATGCTGTAAATTAGCCGACAGCCGATGACCCCCCGTCTCTCATGCAGCATCAGCATGTGAAGAGGCCTAGGGGATGTTATCGTATATCACACATGCTACACATACTGCCAGGAATGTCAGTCAAAAATCTGCGCGGGGAGGTGTGGTCAATATCAGACACTGAATTGATGAGGAAAGTCGGCTCAGATGAAATTTTGCTATAAATAGCCAGACGTTTCACGTTAAGTATTATATTCCGAGACTTGACTTAAAGTATAAGTATATATAAACTCTTAAAAATTGATGTTGTATAAGGAAAAAAGCCATACGTCTTAATTCATCATGTTTATGACAGCAAACATTTCAGTAACATGGATAAGCATATGCATGCGCACGTAGTCTATGAACTGTGGCAAATTATGAAACAGGCAAAAACGTGAATTAATTCTGCCTAAATTTATTGTCATTTTGATCAAATTTATTTAGTGGTTTTCATTGATTTAAAAAGAGGAGGGGTTGGCGCTTGACGATTTAAAAACTTTTAATTCGTGAGTAGATATATAAGAGACTATTTTAAACAGCTATTTACGGATGGAAATGCATCTCCTAGCTCGTCCGTCCAAAAACCTGCTTAGAGAACCGATTAATTCATTTGTCAATTTTACAAGTTTTACTTCGTCGTGTTTGAAGAGGAATTTAATCAAATTATTTGCAAAAGTCCTAAATTAATATACTACCATAGAAATATACATCTACTGGGTATTTTCTACTTTATTCCTTTAGAAAACCAATGCCGTTATTTAGATCATGAACAACACTAGGCATATCACCTGTACATTTTTTATCAGTGGCTGTTCCATCAATGAAACATACTATGACGCAAATATTAATAATACATTATTAATCTTTTAAGCCTACTTTAAATGATAAATTTATACAGATAAAAATATAAACAATAAAAAGTCTTTCTTTGGTTGTTAGCACGGAAATTATAACTTCGCTGCTTTTGCAGAAAAAAATTATTAATAAGTGTTCTGCAACAGCTGCGACATTAATTCTGTGCTACATGTAGCAACTTAAGTAATGTAACAGGCTGGCCTTAATATATCCTTATTTTCACTGTAGATGTTTCACAAAGGAACTCCATATGTTCTTTGTAACTGTTTATTAAATCTCAGCACAAACTTATAAAGAAGTCAACAGTTAATGCACAAAACTGTGTTGGCCCTCTTATCAACTCGCACAACATTTTGTTAGGGTCTCATGAGTGGTGGGAGATAGCTTGATATGAAGTTCTAGGTATCTATAGCCAAAATGTGATTTAAAAGGGGAATAACTCTTGTAACAAAGAGAGCTGTATCAGGAGTAAAAAATGTGGAGAGCAATAATAATTTACATTATAAGAGATTGTCAGTATTTCACTTGTCAGGAAATCTGTGTGTTAGAAAATTTGAGTGTCAGGAAATCTGTGTGTTAGAAAATTTGAGTGTCAGGAAATCTGAGTGTCAGGAATTTATAAAATGTCAGGATTCTGTTATGAAAACAATCTTTATGCTGAATAATAATTAGAACTTGTCTTTATAAAAATTTTGATCTTGTTTTTCAGAATTCGTCATACCTAATAAGATAACAATTAGTCAAGTGCTCAGTGGACATAGCTTTTGCATCTAGAAACTAACCAATCAAAATGCTTCATTTCCCTGACAATCCTGACAGGCATAAATTATTATAATTCTAACAATTAAAAACAATCATATATTACCAAATTATCCTGTTAACTACAAATTCTCTATACACAATCAAATGAATGCATTACTTACTTAATAAATCAAGAATTAAACAATTCTTAACAAAGAACTATCTCTTGTGGTGTAACTATAGTAGACATCAGTGATTAGGTAATATTCTTGAGCAAAATAAATAGTGCTAAATGACAACAATCATAAATAGAGAGATCAAATCTACAGGTATCTTTTAAATAGTTCATGTTATAAAAACTGTAATTTAACTGTAATTTAATAGGAATTTACTTGTACTAGCTTTACATTATAACAAATCCAAATTATTGCGCCAAGTGAACTATTTGATGATGTCATACAATGGTGGCCTACATGCACTGACAGTAGATGTCATGTCATAATAATTTAATTTCAGTTTTAACGCGTTATTTGATTGGTTAAACGGTTTTATCCATTTCGTATAACATAACTTGCCTACGTCACAATGAGTTATGTCAGCAACGTATCACTTGACGTTACTTTTAAAATAATCCTCACTTTGAAGCTTTTTCCTGGAGGAAATATTGTCTCATTGTCTACATTGAAATTAAAGAAATGAAGCTTATTTCAACTTATGTTATTGGGGCAGTTTACGCTTATTTATAAACGGTTTATAAAGCGTAAACTGCCCCAAGTTATGTTATAATGAAATTAGCTTCATTCCTTAAATAAATAAAACTGAAACTCTGTAAGTAGATTCTTATATTCATTGACAATAAAATCTTAAACAATTTAAGAACATAGCCTTGTCAGGTAAATAATAATCAAAATACATAAGCATATAACAGAAAAACATGTGGGACCAACACAATGGTAAATGATTAATCTATAAACAAAACAAACATGGCATGATTCACGGAATATTCCAAGAAATACAATGATTTGAACTTGAAGTTTTACAAATAAAATCTACCCCCTTTATCTAATAAAGTAATGAATATTACAGTAACACCTCGCTAGCTGTATAACTACATGTACTTCAAAAAACAAAGAAAATGAAGAAAAAAAATAACTGAGGTTAACAAAGATGAATGATGAAAGATAAGAAATGAAGAGTGGACAGCTCGAACAGAAGGAGGGTGTATTAGATAGCAATGATCATTAAAATATGCTGTTTTACAATGTTAAAGTTATTTTTGTGGTCTATCTTTGAGTCCCAAAATAAGACTGTTTCAAAATCTATTACTCTATTATGTTTTTTTTATTGGAAACTTTTTTATCTTAATTCGATTACCGGTAATTAAATAAATAAACACATAGGATCACTTAATCTAACCTAAATATATAAAGGACTGTCACAGTCACCATGGGAAAAATACGTGTACTTTGGAAGAAATTTATACCACAGGCCTTAGGATCGCTTAAAAAAATTGTGAGTAAAAAAAAATTTTTTTTTCAACACCTCAATTTTTTTTCTAAGCGATCTAAATAGTCTCATTAGTTTTTTAGACTTTAAAACATTTCAAGAATCAGTACATCGAAAGGTGAAGTATTCCACGGTGTATAGATAAGGGAGGAGTGTATGAGATAGCAATGCTTACGCTGATCATTGAAATCTTTCCATTACATGTACATGTATATACTTACGGTGTGTACAGCTGTTTAATGTTATCGTTATTTTGGTGGCCTATCTTTGGGTCCCCGATTAAGATTGTGTCAAAATCTCTTACAACTGTATTCCAATATAAATTTTAATGATAGGAAAAAAAAATTAATTCAAATTCTTTTTAAATTGTTGAAAGTAATACTCATGTTTCTTTTTTTATCAGTATGTAAACCTACAGGACCACTTTGTATCCTTTAGATAAAAAAAAAAATAAAGAGCATTTTAGGAGATTTATATTGTGTCTCATTCTAGTTAAAAGTGAGTTCATATTCCTCAGACCTGCGCGTTCACTGGGAAAATACTTTGCTTTAAACTAATTTATTTTTTTTTTAAGGATTGAACATTTCAAGATGCAGTAATGTTCAGTTGAATCACTCCTCGATGGTATTAAAGTCAAACTCTTAGGTCAAGGACAAAGGGTCAAAGTCGTTGGTATCCAATGGAAGATTTTGTCACAAGGATTACATATGTGAAGTATGAAACCACCGGCCCCAACTGTTAAAAAGTTATGGTTAAAGTCGGTTAAAATTGTGAAACACTGGGTCAAACTCCAAGGTCAAGATCAAAAGGTCAAATTTGATGGTTCCCTTTGAAAGGTCATTTCACAAGGAATACATATGTGAAATAGCCATAATCTGAACCAATCAAAAGTTATGGGAAAGGTTAGAGTTTTTGCAGTCAAAAAGATTAACAGACAAACAGATGGACTAAATAAAATTATTCTTAAGAATTCAGCTCCTCAGTCATGGTTGATAATTCTTATAATGATTTTATTTATGTGTCAAAACGAAACTTGAAATTGAAACGTTTTCATACAACAATTCAAAGTCTATTGAGAAATGGTCCTGTACTAACTTGACATTTGTACTTCATATAAGTACAAATACCGGTATATATACCGTCTATGAGATTATCGGATTTTCTATTCTCTAGCCTTAGACACTAAATGCTTATTTAAATGACATTTTGTAATGTGAAGTAAATAAAAAAAAAACTAGAAAAATACTGTATTTGAATAAAAATTAAATATGATTTTTTCCCCAGATGTCTGGATAGTTATACAGTGTATATTTTTAGAATCTGAATACTGTAGTATATATTTGTTGAACAATTTTCAATTAAAAAAGAATACCGATTAGTTTCTGCTTTTATTCACGTATAGATTTCATAAGTGTTTCTCTTTTATAAAATATTACAATGTATTAACAATAATTAATAATGAATTTGAATAAATCTATACACCTTCTGACTTCATGGAACAAACATATACATTTTTATAGTAAAACTTGTCATATCCAGATGGTATTATTCCGAAACCTTTCTATTCCGGTGTAAATTTTAAATTCTTTTCAAATACACCTGTACTTCAATTGACCAGTCCGAAATGTTGTCTAATCTATCCAACTTTTATGGATTCGATTGTGTCCGGACAAGACAAGTTTCACTCTGTACATTGAACATTATTAATGTCTACATTTTCTTTTTTGTGTTTGCTGGTAAACAATATATTCAAGTTAGTTGTCAATCATTTTCCCGGCTTGATCCCTCTCTTCATTCCCCAAAATTGATGCCAAGTGGTTACAGGGTAACACTTCTCGGGATATTGTCTGGTATATTGCGTTTATGATGTGATAACTAAACTTGAAACACGTACATGTAAATTTTTTTTGTAGACAGACTCTTTAACTGAGTTCAAGAAACAATCTCCTTATAATTTTCATACAATCATATAAGATGTCAGATAATCGTTTTTAAAAACCTATTTTTAGAGTTTTTGTAATCGTTGTAATGATTTTCGCGCTCTTTTACGTATATCTTCTGTTATCTAGCTGTACACCCGCTTTGTTTCAATAGCTATCCAGTTTCATGTATATTGAAAGACATCGCCCAAACAGCTGTTTAGGTACTTTTAAAACTTTCTTTAAAAATCAATGGTTTTTGATAAAACACCAGTTTACTAAAGAAATGAAAAGCGGATGTCACAGGAGGTGTACATTGTGTAGCTCACACGCTTACGTTGAAAACATGCACCAAGAAAGGGCTGTTTTGGTATGCTCAACAATGCACCAGGAAGTCAATGCTTAGCCAGCAAAAATTGATGATCAAATTGTCTTGTGCATTATGTCATTACGACATAAAAAAGCCTTAAGAAAAAGGAATACAACCTTTTTTTTTTACATACATGTAATTGGGACAAATAATTAATTATGTCGGATAAAAATATGTTTCTATGGTCTCAATGTATATTTATTTGGTAGCTTTAAGGTCTGTGTACACCTTGGAGTCGCTCACGTTAACCCCCCCCCCCCCCCCCCCCCCCCCCCCCCCGCGCGCTCTTGGAAGCTTCGACCCGCAGCTTAGCATGAGTTACCTCTGAGTGTCTGGACCCCTTCAGTAACGGCAACCAATGCCGTCCGCAGAGTCCATTCCTGGATACCAAGCCCTACCCTTAGAGCTTCCTGAAACCTCTTCAGTCATGGCAACCCCTGCCGTCCACAGACACCAAGTCTGTAAATGGACACTAAGTCCTAGCTCTAAGACTTCCTGAAGCCAAAACAAGAGATCTATAAATTGAGGTCGAAAAAGTTCCATCCCTGCCGAGTACAGGTCAAAATTTGCAGCCCACCGCCGGAAGTTCTCGAAAAGAATGTTAAACAGGCAAAAATCAATTTCTTAAATAAAGAATTACAGAATTTTATCTTAGTTAATTATTGTTCCTTTTCAAAATAAGTTATAAATCAGGCAAATATGTATTTAAAAATATATGTATGTTGGATGTACATTTAATTAACACAGTTTCTCTTTGTAGATTTGTATAGATATTCCATAATCATACATGATATTTATGTAAGTGGTTCTTGTAAGCAGCCCACATAAAAGTAAACACTGGTCTTATCAACATTATGTAAGAGTACACTTAACCATGTTAACTCCTGTAAACATCAGCACGACACACACTTTCTTGTATGATTTTTATGCACTATTTTTACCACGTGGTTATTGGATAGTATTCACCGATAATATTTTTAAAAATATTAGAAGTTATCATATTGGTACAGGGTTTTCGACAGGTTTCTGAGCAGGGGAGCAAAGAAGATCTGGGAGGGTATCATTTTATAGATGGTTCTTTTGTATTTTGAGGCATTTCCAATCATTAAATCAAATACTTATTGTATTACGTTCTCTAAAATGTCAATCCAATCTTCATGAAACGTCACTGTATAGTTATGATGGGCTTTTATGCTCAGCATTCAATGTCAGTTTTGGAGGTCAAAATGGGGACTATTACATCCAAAGCTCGCCTTTTGCGACGGCGTTGTAGTAAATCAATATGCATGTATTTTTTTTTATAACTATCTTTCTTTGGGAAATACATATGTACAACTAAGAAAATGACACATAATCAATTTATTATCTAAGAATGTCAACTTTTAACAAACATAAAAGTACGAGGAAAAACAACATTCTTGACAAACTACATATAGAAGTAAATTTTCTTACCAAAATATTTGGATTAACTAAACACTCCAAATACACACAACATTATAAATGTTTTGTATACTACAGTAATTTAAAAGTCATGATGACATCACAGCTAAGTCCTCGTTTTTATATATAGGGGCTTCTATGGTCAGTACGCCGTTAGAAGATAGTGAAGAGGTCAGTTTTGAGGTGTCTACGCCTTCTGGAAGAATGTAAGCTCGTGTAAACTCCCTCTGCACTCTTTTTCCGGGCCCTGACTCCTCGTGTTTTGCGTGCACTGCCAAGTTCCGGTCCACTATTTTCACAAAAATCTCTTCCGGTTTGAATTGACTGCAATCAAATTTCATATCAAGTTTCTTGTTTCCAAAAGAGTCTTCTATGAAGGGCGTGTCAATTTCTAGCAGGTTCTTTCCAAAGTGAGCTTTGTCGAGCGGATCCTTTTTCTCGTCCCATGGGTTTAATTTGAACATTTCCCTCCGCGCTTCTTTTTCAAACTCCTCAAAACATTTTTCAAAATTGTTCTCAAGCTCTGGAACGAGCAAACTGGGTGAGTGAAGATTTACTGGAATCAGACGTGACATGGTGTTACACACCTAGGAAAAATCTCTAATGAGGACTTGAAGAAAACCTTTTTGAATTTGTTACAGCATCGACGTATGGCTTCGCATCAAAGACAAGTTATGCTGTTTCTTGTACTGACATAAACGCGGGTCGCTGCCAGAAAAATACAAGATCTATAGATAGAAAGGAAGAACCAAGGGTTTGGAATTACAAATGCACCAAAAATTGGTAGGAATTTAGATCACATTCTCTAATTCTAATTGATAGCTGTCTTTTCTACCCCCACTGCTCTAGGGCCCCTTATTTATTTAAGTTATATAATCTTTCACTTTAGGATGTATGTATATGCCTAAGTATTAAAATCCTTATATAAACTGCAGTATCAATAAAGAACTTCCGCCTGAGCACAACAGCAAAAATGGTGCATTTGTGTCAAAAAATTTTTCTCTGATATTTGAACATTTATATGATACCGAAAGAAAAAAATGTACGAAAAAGAATTATTTAAAAAAAAAAAAAGAAGGTATTTTGTACAATATACCGGTAATTATGTCTTTTTTTCTCATGGTAAGAGAATTTTTTATTATGCAAATTAGAGAAGGTATAATTTGGAGGAATTTGAATCTGAAGAAAATGTATATATCTATATGGCTTAGTATCAACTGTCGCTTTAATTTAAACTATGTTGATAAAACATTTTTTTCATATATCTATTCATACATTGCATAAATGATCTTAATCACATGCGCTTGACGTTTTTAATCTTCGTTCAAGCGCCTAATATTAGATAAATATGTGCATGCCACATGTATGCACCTTGCACCAAATAAACTTTGGATTTGGAAGTTCAACCACGCTATATCCAAAACTTCTTTTTTCATTAAGAAAACATCTTTTCAACAAATTATTCATTCAATAAACTTCGCCGTGACGCATTATGTGAAGTACTTCCGTGTTGACACGGTCATCCACTCCGAGTACTGATGAATCATTGCGCAATCAATCATAACCCAAACAAGTTACACCGAGACATACCCCATCAGATGAACATGTCAAAGCCGATACAAACTTACATATATACTACATTATATAGCAAGAGGAACGGGTGTTTTGATAAAATATTCTTGTGAGAAATTGTTGCTGTATAGTTATCCTTCGGAGGCAAAAAATTAAAACTAAAAAAATCAGCCATGCAAGAAGAATTCAGGAATTGGTCTGCGAATGGAAAAGCTCGTTTAATTGGTACCGATCAAAAATCTTATATTCTCAAAAGCCAAAAAGCCCAGGAAGAAATGTGCAACCAGATATTCACAATTACACAAAACTCTGACACTAACAGTCGTGCGAAGGATAGTGAAAGTAAGTCTACCAACGACTGTGTGATTATTGAATCCACGAAATTTTCTATGGACGAAAAGTCTTCTTGTCGCCAAAAAAGCATTGTTGGTTGGTTACTTCAATTAATAATTCTTATACTCTTTCTGATGGTCTATATGAACATAGCTGTTCCGAACAGGGAGGTAGACACTACACCAAGTCCTCCGGCTCCCGTGGTCATTATTATGGACAGTGGAACGAATCCTATGAATGGACAGATATTCCAAGATTTCATAGATCAAAACGAACTTTTAATGAACAATACTGTGAATACTGACTTGTTATTTTATGATTCATATGATTTAGATAGCATGGCTATTACCTCTGAAAATCTGTATCATAATGAACCTTTCCAGAGGATAAACACAAATATGGAAGTGCTTGAAGAAACAAAAATGTAGTTTGCATTCCAAAATCAGATTTTGGTTTTACTGGTACATGTATTCATTTTAAGGGACAAATGTTGCAGATTAATTTTACAAAATTGAATATAAGCAGTTTCTCTTTTATTTGCAACGATATTAAACATACAACATAAAACTTGTGCAACTGTAAAATGGAATGGCTTTTAAAGCAACAAATGAAATCGTCATATCAGTAAGTCAGGTCACTTTTTAAATTTTTTCCGCACTCAGTATTTGAGACAAGTCTTTCATTTTTACCTTTCTAAGCGATTTTACCAGGAGGGACGTTCCATTGCTCCTCTGTACATCCCCAGTCCTTAAAGTGTGTCACGTCTCATAGAGTTTGTTTAACTTTCATAGAACTTGATACATAAGTGGAAATAAAGATAAATTCTCCATATCTATATATAGCTATTTCTTATTTTGTTCTTTTTCAATGAACGGTCTTACGGTGTTGCAATTATTACTCAAGCAATACTCGTTTAAGTATGTTGAACTCGATGTGATCTATAAAAAATCCGATATATCTGAGGATTCGAGATAATTATGGAGCTAAAACAACTACTAGTACTCGTAATTACAACTCACTAGCAATCAATATTAAGTCAAAATACCCCAAGTCTATTCTATATAAAAATTATTATATTATTAATATTGGATTTAAAGGACGGGCGGGGCCGTAAGTGTAAATGGTATAAATTTAATTGTAAAAACTCAAAAGTTTTTTTTTAAAAATCGCCGTGAAATGAAAGGTTAACACACACACAGAATGCATGAATTTACGACCTTGACCGTTGACCTCAGAATCAATAGGGGTCTTCCTTTGGCCATAGCTAAGCTATTAAAGGGGTTGTGGTATAAAACTTCACTGCAAAAGCTTAAAGCCTTTTTGAGATATCGCGGAGAAACGAAAGTATTAAAACAGACAGAATATATGAAATTTTGACCTTGACCTTTGGCGTATTGATCTCAGAATATATACATTTAGGGATCTTCTTTAGGCCATGGGGACCCGGGAGTTGTTGTGTATATAAAAACTGAAATCGTCTCGAGATATCGCGCGGAAATGAAAGTTATAGACATACAGACAGACGGAAAGATAGACATGCTGAAAAAAAACATCCCCACTGTTAGTGAAAGCGGACGGCAATAATATTACATTGATTTGATAGACAAACTACTGACATCAAGAATCATAACTTTATTTATCCATTGATTTGTTCCAATTAATGAAAATAAATGTGGGTTTGCTTAACATATTTTTAATTCCGGGGAATCCAAGATAACTTCGTTATATCCATGAATTCGCCATATCTGTGTTTGTACTAAACGAGTTTTACAGTTACTGTATTAATTACGGTTTGTCTCTCTGTGTTTCTGGCTGTCTGTAACATTTTTCGTTTGTGCAAAATATCTCAAAAAGCCTTTGAGCTTTTGCAATGACATTTTGCATATCAAATCCTTGTGACCAAAGGTCTCAGGACAAAAGGTCAAAGTAGTAAATTAACAAATTATGTTTGTTTTTATTACTTTCATTTCCGCACGATATCTCGAGAGGGTTTTTAGCTTTTGCAGTGAAATTTTATACCACATCTTTTTGTGGCTTGAGGGAGATCAATATTTAATTGGAGGCCAAAAGTCAAGGTCGTAAATTCATACATTCTGTCTGTGTATAATTTTTTTTTATTTTCCGGGCTATATCTCTAGAGGTTCAAGCTTAGCAATGAAATTTCATCATAACTCCCAATGGTCGCACCAGCCTTTCGATTGCCTAGATCCGCACATACTCTTCTTTTTTCCTTTTATAACCGGGAGACACATATTCTGTGAATAAGATGGTTTTGCGCTGAATTACTTTTCTGCTCCCGTACTCGATGATTCTGTCCGGGCGTATAAAGTTTATGTCGCGTCTGTCTAGCTGTTTATATGTTTTAAAAACTGTCTGTCCACAAAAAACTTTAAACTTGCCAGTAATATTTGATTGGTTGGAGCTATGGATTTAACATTTTGCATGTCATTGTACATTCCTTGTGACAAGACTTTTCTTTTAGTATAAATATATTTGAACTTGAGATTTGACCCACTTATGCAAAAAGTATAAATTTTAACCCTGGATATAAAATTTGTTCGGTTGGTGCTAGGGCTTTCATATTTCACAAGTATATTCATTGTGACAAAACCTTTTCCTTGGGTACAAACATTTTTGACCTTGACTTAGAAGTTAACCCACTTTAAAACAAAATTTAACCTTGACCTTAACTTTTGAACAATATAAATGTATGTATACAATAATTTATTAAACATAGACATATCAAGGTCAATCCACTAAACTGCAGTCTCAATTTGAGGTCTTTCAATTTAATGACACACTCTTTCTCTTGTATTTTAATAGCAAAATGACAACACTGGAATATCTTACCATAGTTTTACTTTTTTTCATTATTATCAGTGATGTTATTTAAAAACTCAAATGAAATACATGTATAAGAAATACATCTTTCTTTGCTAACATTATATTGATATGAGTGAAAAATGAAATTAAATATCACAAAATGGTTTGACTGTTTACATATCTTTTCTTTATTTCTTTTACACTTGAATCTAAAAATTCAATATGAAGATTACTTATTTATTATTAATATTAAGAATTCTTCCATACTGGACAACAAATAATTTCTACATGCTGTTCAGTCACAACACACAACTACAAGTTCTGGGAATGACGCAGTTTGATTTCATCGCACTAATGGTGTCTGCTTTAACTGCAGGAGGATGGAGCGTAGCCTGGATACATCCTTTGTGTTTTTGGAATTTTTGGGGTTGAATTCACACAATCTACAGATTTTCTCCCATTCCCCACCGGGTTGGGTTGTGTCTCGGTCCTTCACAAATGCTTCCTCCGCAGTTCTGAAGTAGAGAGGAGAATAATATTATAACCACTTTTATTCCTTAGTTAAATTTATATTTCTGTCAATGTCTTTGGCAAAAGTATATTTTTAAGATATGTTAGCATGTTCAAAGTGACCATAACATAGAAATTTAAATGGTAACCTTTTTTTTTTTTATTTTACTGGACAAATGACACTATAAAAGAAAGATAACTCTACTATAATTGATAAATTATGATTTAAAAAAAATTCTCAATCAAAATTTGTCTCTTTTGCATATAGTATAAATATTAATTTCTTAAATTCTATCTTCTGTTCATTATCTGTTTCAATTTTGTGGTTTATTTGAGGAGAAAATCTCATCTAAGTTTACAAAGAGTTCTCCTTTAACCTAATTATATTTTAGAGCATTGTTGTATTCTTCCTTTCGGGTGGAGGATTAGAATATGTCTCTTGAGTAAAATTAGTTATACTCTTCATTAATCTGAAGCGAAATAAATGCTTATTGTTTTTCCTTCCATATATCTGATAATCCTATAGAAATCAGATCTGAAAATATTGTGAATTTTCAATCAATATAAACAGTTACTCATATAAATCAATTACTTCTTCCCAATACCATTGTATCTTAAGATGATTCACAAGAATATTAATTTAAAGGTTTTACTTCAGTCTTCATCTAAATTTGAAAAAAAAACTTCATAAAACACTTACCTTTATACACAATTTATATTGAATAATGTGTTTGCAAATGAATGCTAAGCATTGAGAAAATATTGCCAGTGAAATCTAATTATTGCATGTATTCTGTATAACCATTAGGATCCATGATTTTTTTTTTTAAATACATAAAACTGCTAGCTGCTAAGCACACCATTTAATACATGTTACATTTAAATGTGTAATATACATTTTTTTTTTACAAACATGCATTTTCTCCCATTTTCTGACTACAAGTATTTTTTTCATACACAAGTAAAAGAATTCAGAATAAATGTGGAATCATTTTCTTTCATAGAAACCATTTTTTAAGATTGATAAAAAGTTATAGGTTACAAAGATGAAGATCCTTTATGAAAGATTTCTCTTGTTTATCACCATTTCTTAAATAAAGGTAATCAAGTCGAAGAAATTTTCAGTGAATCTGAACAAATTGTGATGATTCCACGGTACCTAATAACAACACAAAGATACCCCTTTCCAAATAAGACAGAGGTCTACATATACTATTCACAAAATTGATATAATTCCAGAAGGTTTACCAATACTTACACATTGTGTTTTCTAACCAGATGAAAGCACATAAAAAAGCAAAAATACACTGTAGGAAGACTACCCTCATCACAATTGTGTATAAAACAATTTTAGAAACAATTATTGTAAGGCTATTATGTTTAATGGTAAGAATTAGTTTATGTATATTACAATGATATTAATTGAAGAGTCTAAACCTTGCATTATTTTTACATCACTACTATTGGAAATCAGTACACATTATACACAAGCAAAAACTGAAAAATAATATTTTTTTTAATTGTGACACTTCATTAAAATCCTCTGATTTTAATTTTTACTTGTAAAAGGAGATTTTTTTCTTCTTTTCCCCTCATACAAGTCTTTTGATTTTTTTTTATCTCATTATTAATTATTTCAAAGAATTTTTTGATTATGGAAACAAGTATGGTATTTTCAATTTCAAGAAATTCAATTTCAAGAAATTCTAAAACTTTTTTTTTCTAAATTAGTGTTACATGTAATCAAAGAAATAGACAATCATCAGTCATTTTCCTTCCCTCACATTAACTGTGACTGTACTACAATCCTTGTACAAAAGCTACCCTGGGGACAGACGGTGAAATTATGTCCATGTATTGGTGTACTAACCTGTTTGTTTCCTTTGTTTTCTGTATCTGTATTGGTGTACTAACCTGTTTGTTTTCTTTGTTTTCTGTATCTGTATTGGTGTACTTACCTGTTTGTTTTCTTTGTTTTCTGTATCTGTATTAGTGTACTAACCTGTTTGTTTTCTTTGTTTTCTGTATCTGTATTGGTGTACTAACCTGTTTGTTTCCTTTGTTTTCTGTATCTGTATTGGTGTACTAACCTGTTTGTTTCCTTTGTTTTCTGTATCTGCTCATTATGATGTTTGTACCAATCGTCCAACTCCTTCTTAGCTGACTCTCTCCATTCCTCCTTCTTCTGAGCCTCTTCGGCATCTAATTACAAAAGATTAATAATTAAAATAAAATTCACTGATAAAAATAGATTCTGATAATTATACTTAGGTATATCAAACACAGGCACTTGACATTCTAAACTTTTCTCCTTGTTGATAAGAATATCCCTATACTATTATAGTATGGAGATATTTTTATCAATGAAGAGAGAGAATAAGAATATCAAAGGCCTATAATATTATAGTACTGTATTAATTATTTCTGTAATTTCAATGCATGCACATTGAATTGTTTTCAACTTAATATGTTTTGAAACCTGTTCATTTTACATATATATTGAATGACAAACAATGTTTTTAATCTTTTAAGTCTTATCTACACCGAACCTTTCTTTTCTAATCTCATTTTCTGTTCTTCCCTCCATATCCTGAGTTTTTCTGGTTCACTCCTCTCTTTGTCCATTGAGGTGATAGCTGAATAGGCATCAGAAGGTCCATTTGTCTAGAGAAAATGAAGCAACCTTCATAAAATTAATACATCAAAACAACTTGAAAATATAAATATAAGTCCTATATATTTATTTCTCAATTGTCACCAAGATAGAATTAAATACAAAAGTAAAGCTTATACTCTGCTTGGCATTGAAAAAAAGTGGGTGGTGGGATTAAATTTTCCTGAAATTTTCACTTGGAGTTAAATGTTAAACTGAACAGAATTATGTATGTTATCGACATGAGCATTGCACATATAATAAATAGAGCAAGTTTGATAACAGTAAACTAGAGGTACTGTGAGCAATGGGCTCACTAAATGATACCCCCCGCCTCCCATATGTGTATAAATGGCAGTGTCCATGTTTTGCTATGGGAAACCCAAAATATGTGTCGGATCAAAAAGTAAAATAGGAGGTGCACAATGGCAATATATAATAAAGATTCTGTGAAAGTTTCATCAAATTTCATTCAGTGGTATAAGAGGAGTTGCGGATAAGAGATGGGTACCCCAAAGCGTAACAGACGGACGGACGGAAGGACGGACGGACAGACGGACGGACGGACGGACAGACGTACAGACGGACGGAAATACCGATTACTATATACCCTCCCGCTTTTCAAGCGGGGGGTATAATAATCTGTAAAGGGTGGACATATGTTTGATAGGTTTTCAATCATTAAAATCCTTCCGATAATGAAATCATCTTGCTACCCATCAGTTTAAAATTATCATTTCCCTATTCTCTTGAATGTTATTAATTTCCAGAACTAGTGATCAGAATTGGTATAAAAAAAGTTTTTTAATAAGTCATTGATTTTATCTAGATAGATCTGTAGCTTGCTGGTCTGAAAAAATTATGATATATACCCAAAGAAACATGTAAAGTTTAGTTATTGTGTACAAAAAGTGTGCCGTTTCTCTATTTATTTATCCAACGAGAGTACATAACTCCATTAGTTTCTACGAAAACAGTCTTCTCTACCTGAGCTTCTTCAAACTGGTCTTCTCCCATGAAACCTGGGGCTCCATTCATTATTTGGGGTTCTCCACCTTCAAACATATCATACTGCCCTAAAAACACAAGAAAAAGAGAATAGTGACAATATTTAAATTTTCATAGATATGTCAGAAAAGACACACTGTGTGTGTACTACGTAGGTATCATTTTCTACTTTTTTGTTGGCCCAACTGCATGGGCATTGAACAGCTGAAGTTAAGTGCAATTATAGAGACTGTGGATGCATTGGGATTCGAAATTTTATCAATAAAATCAATATTGGGAATCATTCGATTGATCAAACCATGAGCTATGCATTAGCTTTGCAAACCTGTTTGCTACGCTAACGCTTAGCAAATGGCTTTGTCAATCGATTGATTTCTAGTGACTTTATTGATAAAATTTTGAACTTCTGTGGTAGATGTTTTACAATTTCCATTCTCAAACCATCTAATATTCTGTAGAGTTATAAAACTACAATTTTTAGTGAGCATTCTTTATATGTTCATTTGCGGTTCCATGTTCCTTTGCCCTAAAAATTGTTCGCCCGATTTCCCATTCGCCCAGAGTCCGCTCGCCCTAAAACTTGTTCGCACAGGGTCCGTTCGCCCTCAATTAATGTAGAATAAAATCTAACGAATTTCTTCCCAAATAAATCATTTTTTGAGATCAAAGGGAGATTCTTCAAAGGTAAAACCTTCCACATCCGCTGTTCATGCAGTTCTATAATGGACCTATTAACGCCTCAGTCCTTTGTTTTCAAAACATAGCGCAATTCGTAAAAATAACACGGATGTATCCCCCTAATTAACACTGATATTAATCATATTAATCATCTAATTAACTGTAGTGCAAAAACTAAGTTCTTCAAAAGTCATTTAAAAAACATAAGAATCAAATCAAAAATTAATTAAGACTATGAATAAACATTGTTCCTCGTATCAGAATTTGAGAAAAAATATCCCAAGTTCATGAAGGAAATAAACAGAAAAAAAACATGTTCTTTTTTTAATTCATATGAGTTTATATATAAGTATTGGGCGAACCACATATAGGGTGAACAAGATATTGGGCGAAAAATATTTCGGGCGAACAGACTCTGCGCGAACGGACAGGTAGGTCAGGCGAACGAACCCGTTACCTTCACTTGCACAGGTACTTGGGTCTTGGTTTATAAAATATGTATGTACCTTATTGATATGTTAAAAAGGTACTTTTTTACATATCAGTAAGGTGCATACATAGTTATAAACCAAGACCCAAGTACCTGTGTTCATATGCGGATAAAAAGCTAAAATAAATTCATGGAACCGTTTCGAATAGCTAAATGAAGCTATATAGCTAAACATGCAAATTCAAGGGATTGTTCACCTTGGACTGCTCATGGTGGGCGGACACCGGTAAAAAAATTGTATTATGTGGTGTAATGATGAGGAAGTTACCTTCATCGGTCTGTTGTGTGGTGTCGTCATCTTCTAAACCAGCTAATTCCGTTTGTTCCCTGGCTAAGAAGGCAGCTGCTGGGTCCTCCTCTTCATTTTGTGCTGGAGGTTCAGTGTCGAAAGCATCGAAGTCAGACATCTTTGATTGTGTGTGACGTCAATGGTGGTAGAAAACCGAGGAGTACCGAATATTACGTCATTCTTCCGAGTAGATCGGTAATTTCCGGAAAACTCCGAAACGTCATTCGGCAAACAAGCCGAAGTTTGCCGAATGCCGAAAAAAAAAGTTTCTTCATCGTGATGCACTACAGTATTAGGATTTTGACGGGAAAATGTTTTGTTGATCAATGAGCAAAAAATATTTTTGTATCATTTAACAAATAATTTGATATGACTTTAATTTTTTACAATCTTCTCTTCATATTGTGATATCTTAATCGGTTTATAAAACGATGCTTGTGTGCATCACGTTTCACAAAAATAATAACAAAGGGTGTCTCGTGGCTAAGTCGTCAATATCGCAGTGGTCTCGTTCTAAAAATATAAATGATTCGTCAAAGGTTCAAATACTTTAGAACCTTCCATTTGAAAATGGAGGAAGAGAGAATGGAGCGAAAAAATGTTGCTTTCAGTGTGATGCTTCCGTCTTCCAAAGGACGAAAAAGGAGAGTGAGAAAGAAATCTTTTACAGAGGCTGTCAAAGAAAAATACTGCATGAGCGATCCCAATAAAATATTTACTTCAGGGTTTGTGATCGACATAAAGGTGACGGGGAAACCTAAAGCAAATGACTCGGAAGCTGAATTGGCATATCTCAGAAATGTGGTATGATTTTGTGTTGATATATGTTTTTTACGTTGTTTACAAAAATAGATAATCAAACAGCTGACCTACTTTGGCACAAGGCCAAATAATTGTTGGATAATGCACTCTGTTCCGTTATCATGTTTATCACGTAAATCGTGATGCTTAGTGCGATGGTCTTATTTAGCTGGTTAAACAATTACGAAGTGTGTATTATAGAATAGAATAGAATAGAATTTATTACCAATCAGGGCCCATTAGGCATAAACATATAACATATATAATTACATATAAACATAATATTAAAGTAATAGACAGAATACAACATGTGGTGAAGAGCAATTCTTCTATTAAGTATATATATATACTGATATATATGTTGGTGGCAATTTAAGTTTCATATACAGACATACATGATGGTTTGTTGTACAAAAAAAGTGTGCATAAGTATTATTCATGATATACATATATATGTAAATATATACATATCAAAATGCATAAAACTATGTTTGAAACATCAACAGGAGGCAGCAAGAGTCGGTGCTAAAGGATATACAGAATTCCACTTCTGCCTCATGTAGAATAAACAGACATAAAATTTATGGAGATAAACATATATTATATAAATAAATTATACATTGACACATGTGTTAATTAAACTAAACTACAATGGACAGCAAGAGTCAGTGCTGAAGGATAGTATATTGTTATTATACATGTATTAAAGTTATCCACTTCTGTCCAATGTAGAGTATATAATACAACAAATATCAACAACACCTTTACATAGTGTAGCATAATTATCCAACCAAGGTACTTCAAATGATTTTGAATTTGTCGAACTATACATGACTTATGAATTCACACAATTTGAACAGCACATCAACATCTTCACAGTTCATTAACCATAAAAATTGGTTATTTTTTGACAAGCTATTAAAAAGATGACACCTCATAGATATCATGGATAGTAAATTTATTCTTGATTGACTATGGCATGGACAACTTAAAAGAAAATGTACTTCATCTTCTATCTCTTCTATTTTACAATTGGGGCATATTCTCTCTTCTCTTGGAATACCGTATTGTCTACCTTTTTCAATCATCAGATTGTGAGAAGATATTCTAAATTTTGTTAGAATCTTTCTTTTTTCAAACTTTCTTAAAATTAATAAATAAGGTTCTAGCCCAAAGTTCTGTTTAATTGTGCAATAGGTGTCCAATTTCCCACAATTACTTAATTCTTCCTTCTTTTGATACCATTTTTCAAGAAAATATGAATTTAGAATGCATTTACAATGATATTTAAATGTTGATGTAGATGATTTCAGATGAGGTGTTAACTGAGGAAGAAGTTGTTTAAACATATCAATAGAACCAAACCATGATAAATTGTTTTTATTGAAATTGGATACCGAGGTAGTATACGCAGCTTTTAATAGAGGATATGTGTCATCCAAATTCTCTAACCTATGCCAGTATTTCAATATATTCTGAACAATACTGAAACTCATAGGGTGTCTACCTAGTTCTGAAAGGACTGCAAATTTTGTACTTTTGTTATTTACACCTAATAAAAATCTACAAAACTTGTAATGTAATTTCTCACAAAGTGACTTAGAAAATAATTCATCCAGTGCAATGGGTCCATTTCTAAATCGTGATGTAGTAGTGTTAAAGGCCCCCCAAATTTCACTACCGTAAAGTAATATGGGTTTTATTGTATGATCATATACATGTAAAGCTGTGTTTATTTTAGGGTTCAATGATAGGAAATTTTTTTGTAATTTAAAAAATGCCTTTGAAGCTTTTTTGTAAAGTTCATCCTGAGCAAGTGTAAAACTTCCAGATGCAGTGAAATGTATGCCCAAGTATTTATAAGAAGTAACACATTCAAGAGGTTCTTTGTTTAGTGTGAAGTTTTCTTTCAAGTGTCTACCTGCTTTATTAAAGATTAATACTTTGGTTTTTGAAACATTTACATCAAGGCACCAGTCAGTACAGAACTTATCAAGACAATTAAGTTTTTGTTGAAGTCCTTTTGATGACTTGGACAATAAAACTATATCATCTGCATACATTAGACAATGAAGTAATTTATCGTGTAACTGAATATTATCATCAGTTATATTATTGAAGTATTCTGGAAGATTATTGATAAAAATTTTGAAAAAATTTGGACTTAAATTGTCTCCCTGTTTAACTCCTAACTTAATAGGGAAAGTCTCAGTGACTTGATTGTTTAACTTAATGCATGATCTACTACAATTGTACATACTCTTAATTACATTGTAAAATTTAGATCCAACACCAATTTCTAGCAGTTTAATTTTGATGCCTTCATGTATTACTGTGTCAAATGCTTTTCTAAAGTCAATGAAACATGCATAGAGTCGTCCTTCTTTCTGAGAGCAATATGTTTCAAATAAAGTTCTTAAAATAAACATGTGATCAGATGTTCTTGCCTTTTTACAGAAACCAATTTGACAATCATTAATAATTTTGTTTTTTTCTAGATATTTATCAAGTCTTTTATTCAAAATACTGTTAAATAATTTACCAATTGCACTAGTGATGGTAATGCCACGATAATTGTTTGGATTATTGATATCCCCTGACTTATGCAGAACAGTAATGTATCCCTCGGCCCATGATTTGGGATAAAGTCCATGTGATAAGCAAGCATTGAAAATATTTCTTAAAGATGGTAGTAGAGCATTGTGACCGTATTTAATCATATGATTGGAAATGTTGTCTAGTCCAGGAGATTTATCATATTTAATACAAGAAATTGCCTCTGATATTTCCGAAGAACTTATTGTATAGTCTAATTCGTTAAAACATTGTTTATTTTCCATTTGAGAAATTTTCGTTTTCAATTCATTTAGCCTGTCAAAATATGACTCTCTCACTTCATTTAATTTTGTAAAATGATCCAGCCATCTATCAGGATGAATAGTTGTATCTACTGCATTATTTTTGTCAAGAAGATGGTTCACAAGGTTCCAGTAAAGTTTGGGATTATCCTCATTTAAAGCATCAAGCCTTGCAATGAGGGACTGCTGATATTGTATTCGTTTGTGTTTACATAATTTCGCATACTGTTTTCTGAGTTTAAAAAATCTGCCTCTAATAATTGGATCTTTTGGGAATTGAGACATAACTCTAGCGATATTAATTAATCTATTTTTTGTGTGTTTTAGATCTCCATCAAACCACTTCTTATTTTTATTTCTTTGTGCTGCTTTAGTTTTATTTTTTTCTGCTTTAGTTTTATTTCTTTTTAAGGATCTAGTGGCAGCATTAATAATAATAGTCTGGAGTTTGTCTACAGCAGTATTTACAGAGGATAATGAGTTCTGAACCTCCAAATTTGCCAAATCAGACAGTTCTTTCTGTATGTCTACAGAGGTTAAAGCTTCTTGAAATTTAAATGCTGAGTCTTCTGACCATATAAAACGTGGATTTATAAATTGCATCTTACACATATCTTGATTATTATCTACTAGATTTGTAAAATTGGCAGACATTTCCCAATGTAATAAGCAGTGACAGTCAGATAGTGTAGGATCAAAATCATTTACTCTGAAGTACAAAATCTGATCCAAAATGCTTTCAGAGATGATAACATAGTCAACCACACTAGAACCATTAGGGGTATAACAAGTAGGTTTTCCAAAAATATCTCCAAATGTTCTACCATTCACTATTCTCATATTTTGACTGATACAAAGTTCAATAAGTTCTTTGCCACGATTATCTACTTTGTCATCTTGACTTTTTCTACGTCTGATTTCTTTATCAATATTATATTGGTCATATAGGGGCACATATGCACTATCATCACAAGAAATAAAATCAAGGTTATTTGATGTTCTAGCATTGAAGTCGCTACAGATTAATATCTTACCTAGTTTACTCTATTGTATCAATTCTTTTTCTAAACATTCAATTATATTGTAATTCAGTCCAAGAGTATAAGATGACGTACTAGGTGGATCATATACAACACATATGAATAAATTTTCTTGGAGACCAAAATAATTTTTGTCTAGTTGAAGCCACTGAAAGTCATTAGATGTGTTATTGAGGATTTTTATGTGTGGTTTAATATGATTTTTACATAAAATACCTAATCCACCAAAATGTCTATTGTTATGTTTACTCACTGGTCTACATACAGTATGCAAGTAAAAATCACCAATGTTATGTGGTAGTTGACCAGACCCAATATGGGTTTCAACAAGAAAAACAATGTCATATTTTTTCAGGGTATTCATAAATCTAGGATCACAGGTTTTGTTAAAATCCTGACTTACTAAGCCACCAACATTCAGAAATGCAAACTTCAAAGAATTTTGTTTGCTTGTACACTCCATATTTGTTATGTAGTATTCTTAAGTAATACATGAACAAAAAATCTAATAATAAAGAAGTGTCGTATCTCAAGAATCACTCTTGTTTTATGTATGTGATTAACGAGACAAAATGAAGATTCAGGATCAGCATCATAAAAAATTCCACAACAAAAAATTTTAACAAAAGAACTGGGATATAGTGCAAAAAATAATTGCTAATAAAATCATGATGAGAACTACTTGTTTGCAATTGCAAGACATTGTAATAAGAGATCAATAAAAGTTATGGTACTTATGATCTGAGTACTATACATTAGTATTTACGGCTGGACCCTCTGTTCTTACCAAACCCAAACTTTCCTCTGGACTTGGACCTTGGTCTGCGGCTGTTGACAGTTTCGATTCCTAAGGAGCTGTGAATCACTCTCTTCATATTAGAAGCTAATAGAGAGACTCCTTTTTCGTTTAAGTGAACACCATCGTCACACAGCAAGTTCAGTGGTGGATCACCCTCGTGTAGCATGTACGAATGATCTAATGTTGACACAGAAGGGTTTTCATGCAAGTGTTGTTTAAGAAGTGCATTCAGAATCTGTCCATTTGTATGGTAACGAAATTCATCTGCCCTGGGTGTCGCAAGGGATATAATTATTTTACTGGATAGCCATTCCTGGTGCATGAGACCAATAATTCGATCCATTTTGTCCACGCATTGATTAGGCTCATATTTTTTAATGTCGTTAGTAAACGAGTGTAGAAGAACTAAATCTGGTATCATCACCTAAAAGTTTGATTCAATATATTGGTATGTTTCATCCAGTGTGTATTCTATTTTTTAAATTAAATTTGCGAAAGCAGTGAGTTTGTCTTCTTTAATGTTTTTTATGTTAGACGTTCCGATGAGCAAGACTGTTGGAAGGTCAACAGCACCAGCCGAACCAACATCCAAAGTACTTTTGGGTGCTGTAACATGTGTAACTGTAGTGGATTCTTGAATTCTCCCAATGAGTAATTCTACCTTGTTTTGTGTTTCTTGTATATTTGCAGATATTCTGTCTTGGGTGATGACCATTTTATTGAGGACTTCGTCCATCCTTAGAATCGCTTCATGTAAGCTTTTTTGATTGGATAGAATGTTTGTCTGCGCAGTGGAAAGTTTTTCAATGACACTTACTAGACTGGTTTCTAGTCTTGTTAAGTCACTTGTGTCAGGCATTGGTGGCATTGTGGTTTTAACAGATGTTTTGACAGATGTTTGCGAACTTTCATCTTGATCCTCTGCTATGATCATATCTAATATTTGTAACAATAAAGAAAAGTGCTTTTCTACAAAGATGCTGTAATTATGACCTTGCACCCTAATAGTTCCTGTTGAAATAAACAGCGTAAGGTTGTATATCAATGAGTCTGATTCAGCCTGGTCATGCAATTCAATAGTTATTGTAGGGTTTTGCGTGCTGCTATCCCACGCACTAGTGGGCGCATCCTTCCACTCCACGCGCGCTCCACTAATGTGACTTATGTTGTCAAAATAAAAGATTGCCAAGGTCTTAATCCATGGCAGGATTCTGTCTGCAGTTGTGTGATACGTAATAATTTTTGCACCTTTGTCGTAAAGACTGTTGTCAATTTCTTCAAATAAAGAATTTTTGGCTTTGCCTGTTCTTGGTTGCAATTTAGTTGGTAAACAGGTAGCAGGATATTCCTTCATTATGGCCCCCATGTCCAAATCAACTGTCAGGTCACTGAGCCTGATATTTTTAATTAATTGTAATGTCATCTTACCAATGCTTACTGCCCAGGGTTTGTTAATATTGTGGAGTTTAAGCTTTCCTCAGCGCGAAAAATTTTCCGCCATAACCTTGTATTATATAGATTGTTGTATAAGTATGTAATTTAATTCCATAGAGTCAATCATAATTTAAAAAAAAAAACATCTTAATTTAAGGATCTAGATAAAGATAACAAAAGTTTGCATGCATCAGTGCACGTGAGAGCTATGATACGTTTACTTCACCAAGATTTAACTAAGTTGGCGACTGGATGCATAATGATTAAAGTATTACCATCCCATCCCACCCCCAACCCCCTCCACACACACCACCACCACCACCAATGCAGCCACCACTGAAACCATGCATTTCATTCTTCGTGCATCCAGATGAGTTGCTATGCCAACTGCATACCCAATATGATATACTTTCAGTACCATTTTTAAATGGCAGCAGAATCTGGAGATTATAAATCTTTTTATTCCATAGGTCCTGACTAACAGTGCTGTTGGCCATGCTGGTCTGCCAAATGAAGGACTGTCCACTCTGTGTCCAAATGTAGTTGACCTTGACCTGTCCAGCAATGCCCTGACAGATTGGAAAGACATGCTGACCATCTTGTCTAACCTACAGTGCCTTAAGTTTGTCAATTTAGCCCGAAACCTGTTGCAAAATCATGAGGTGAATTTCAGCTCAATAAAATTAATAAAGATCAATTTACTGAAGGTGTAAATGATATCATGGACATAAGTACCTTTGAGCAATTCATCTTTCTTTACCTTAAGTGGTTAAAATTTTTAAGTTAAAAAAATATACCTGGTACATTTATTTCTCTGTAGAATGTCATTCAGTCTTGGAGCACAGCCCTTCCTCAGATAGAAAACCTAGTGTTGAATGGAACCTACACCAGCTGGCAGGATGTCATTGAGTTGTCCAAAAAGATTCCGTCCCTCAAAGAATTGCATGCCTGTGAAAATGGTATGCCATATTTTGCCATAAATGATAAAACCAGTTTGTTATAAACAATATTTTTAGATTTATCAAAAAAGAAGAGAATATATAGATTAAAGGGGATTACATTTAAGAGTGTACTGATGAGGAAATTGAAGTTATAGTGGCTATTTTTGGCAATTTTCTGTTCTGTAAATATAATAAATCTTAAAGGTGCTTTAAATCTTAGTATCTCAAAAAATGATGTCTCAAATATGATGGTATATCCCCAGCTACATAATCTTTCAGAATCTGTATTTTCCCCTGGACATCTTCAATCTTGGATTGCCTAAAAGTTTTTTTTGTTTCCCATTGAATTGAAGATAATGAGTATTTATTTTTACCGGATTGATTCCAATATCATTTGATGTTTTAATTTTCTCATCCATTTGCTTTTCTCAAGCAGTTTGAAGGGGGTGGAGGGAAATATATTAAGACAAAGTAGGAGAAAAGGGGAGGGGGCAAAATGATATGTTATTTGTTTTGTTTTCCATTGTATTCTAAGTTTTCAGTTTATTCGAAGATGCATGTATATCACCCCTGCTAATGTTATTGTGATTTAAATTCAAGACACGTGGTTCAGGTTGATCTATTCAAAGGTTATAGGGTAGAACTGGTTTTATAAATAAAATCGGCAGTAAACAGGATATTGCTATAGCCTGTTTCTTTTGAAAACATGTCCTATAATAAATTTTTCCAGACCTTTCTGAAAAACTTTCATGATTTTCAACAGAAAGGGGGTGACTAAAGGAGGGGGTGTTAAAATAACAATATGTCTTATACTTTTCGGCGAAAATAAGAGCTCACTAGTGACCAATTCGCTGGTAAAAAATGTGTTTTATCATCTACACTGATAAACCTTTGTTTGCCTTATATGGATATTGTTATAAATGCGCACAGAGGATCTTACCACGAGCAACTGACCAATCGTTGGAATGAATAGCAACGTTTACGCCAAATACATGTTTACCTTTTACTTCGAACACGTGGTTCAGGTCAATCTATGATCATGTCAATGGAATACAAAGTAATAAAAAAATGTTCTTAAGAACAAAATACAAAGATAAGAAACTATATATTAAAGATGTTACGGGCGTTTTTAATTTATTGTTTACAGGAAAAAATGTTGAATAAAATGTAGTTTGTGTCTAGTTCAGAACACCAGCGCTTCAAGGGTATGGAAAACGAGCAGCATCTCTTATGCATTTAAATGGACAAAACTTTGTTTACGTTCGTGATCACGTGTTTGGCCAGGGAATCCACCTGGCAATGGTATTCACTGATAGTACAACAAAGGAATTAATACAGACGCAAATCGCTTTTGCAGTATGACTTTCAGAGACCTAGACTTCCATCGTTTATTGAACAAATGAATTGTTTGTCATTATGAGCATGAACGTAATATTTTTAAAATGCTTTTTTATTTACAAAAGATTTTCCTTTTTTTCAAGCGTAAAATTCCTGTAGTATTCGTAGTAACCCATAATGCAATACTCATTCAGCTGATTGGTCAGTTAAAATCATACTGGTGCCTCATTTGCTAATCTGGCGCCAAAAAATATAGTCCCGGTTCCCATGCAAAAATATTTTTCCGAAAAGAAATTTTAATTCATGACTGCAGAAAATTGTATTATAGAGAATACTTATTTAAGTTTGAATGAATGTAAGAGAGATCGATTGATTGAAGTACATTTCTACAGACATTGTCAGCTGATTCTAGGGTGGTTAAAACTGAAACGCAACATAACTTTTCTGTTTACCATATCTCCACGTGCTAGTCACTTCCTAGCCACATTTCCGTGAATAATTTACCCTATCTCGCTGAAGTCTCGCTAACTCTCGCCAGAGCCACTGACAGGGCTACTCTGAACTCATCGGGTCTTATAATTTGCAGAACACTGATAAATAAAAAGTTCCGAACACATTAGTAGGGGTGTATATTGAATTTGTGATTTCTATCTTAGATTTCATTTCGACAAAAATTAATTTGGTCTTTTCTGAAATGTAATTATTTGCATATAATTGTAGAATATGAAGATTTGGATCATCCAGAGGATGCTTACAAGTATCTACAAAACATCAGCTGTCTCAGACTCAATAACAACAGACTCCGGAGGTAAATGTTGGAATTTTGTCAGAGTAAAGCTTGTCTAATCCTGATACCAATGATTCTTAAGAAATTAGTAGAATTAGACAAAATGCCAGATAGTTTAGACTATACATTTTTTTAAAAAATTGAATTTACTGAGAGAGAGACTTAAAAAGTTTTGCATTATATTAGGCAGAATTTCAGAATGCACAGCATCTGGATTGGGCAGATTTCACTGTAGCCTATAACTTTTATTTGTTTCATGTTTATCAGCTTATATTTATACCCTGGAAAAGTTTTTGACATGTCTTTCTGTTTGTTTTTATGTGCATGTTGCAGAGTTCTTGAAATCTTTTTTCCACTGTCAGTCATTTGGACTGACTGCCACAGGACGTTTGTCGGTCCAGACAGATTTCTATCAGTCCAACAAAATAATAAAACATAATTTTAAGAAGATTAAAACTGTTTTTGAATTTTATTATCATTACATTTGGCACCTTCTGTCAATACACACTGCATACTTCATGCGAATTTGATCATCGTGTAACAAATTTCGTTGAATTCCCATGGGAGGTCGATTTTCTTCATAGGTTTTTAATCTTAGTTTGATTTTTCTCACCTGGCTATACCTTATCGGCGTCAAAAACTTGTTTAAACAATTAATCAATCATAGTTTGGTACTTGCGTTCATCGAAGAAGCCATTACGAGATACTGAAAAAACATTTAACAGATTATGATCGGTCGGTTGTAGGGAATTCGTACGAAAATTAGTCAGATTTTCGTAAGTTGCTTTCTCAACATCTACCGGTCATTTGGACTGACACAGAACGTAAAGTTATCAGTCCTTGGTTGTTTTTATCGGTCTTGCCGACAGGACCGAAAGATTTCAAGAACTCTGATGTTGAACTCTGTAATAAATAATTCTGTGAGTAGAAGTACAAATGAAAAAAACTGAATTTCAGTTGGGAGGAAGTATGGAAACTGAAAAATCTGCCTTGCTTAGAATCCCTCATTCTGTCAGGGAACCCTATTGAACACATCTTCTACAAAGAAAAAGAGGAGTGCAAGATATGCTGTCCAGAAAACACAGGAAAAGGAGAAAGCAGTGAGAGGGATGTTTCCATGGATGTACAGGATATTGTGGAAGATATTGTTGATGATGTTTTTCGGATCATCCATGTGGGAGGAGATGTCATGGAAGAAACAGAGAGTGACTCTGAAGGTTGTCAACACTGTGACCCGTTCTCCAGACTCAACCTTCTCTGTCTGAGTGAGACTCAGCTCAATGATTGGACTCACTGTGAAGAACTCAGAAAGTATCCTGCTCTGGAATCTCTCAGAATCAAGGTTTGTACCACTTTTGGAATGTACAAGTTAAAATTACCCCAGTGTGTAGATTCATGTATCAGTGGAAAAACTTATTTTTCAGAATGGCTGTTTTGAATTGTTTTCCAAAAACTTATTTTTGATTATTTTACACAGGATGTTCCCTTAGTGAAAGATTTAGAAACAGATGACAGAAGAAAACTTCTTGTTGCACAGTATGTGATCAAACATTGATTCATACAGTTAAATCTCCTTATCTCCATCTCAGATGGGTCAAGAAAACTTTGAAAATATTCAAGGCTTCAATATATCTAGAATATCAAAATACCTGGTACTTAAAGAGTAAGTTAGGGGGACTTCCAAATCAATCTTACATACCCTAGCTGCAGATCTGTAGCATTGTGGTTTTATATATTTGTCTTTGACCATAATGCTACAGATCCCTTAATGCAAAAAAGGTGCAATTTATTTTTTTGCATACTTTTGGGGAGAATTTCTTCACTTTCCAGCATTGGTCTATTAACTACCCTTCACTCCCTAATTCTAGGCACATTATTTAACTAATCTATATATTTTATCCATCTCCCAACCCTTTATAGTCGTTTCGACAAGTGGTAAATTCACTTGATTAAAATTATTTGTTAGATTGCTGAAAATTCACTTCAAGAGCGTTTATTGCCTGTAGAGACAAGTATAAATGGTTGGGAGGTGGATAAAATATACATATTGGTGACAGAATGTGTCTAGAATTAGGGAATGAAAGGTAGTTGATTGACCAATGCTAGAAAGTGGAGAAATTCTCCCCAAAAGTGCGCAAAAAATATTGCGCCGTAAATTGCACCTATTTTACATTAGAGAATCTGTAGCGTTGTGGTCAAAGACAAATATATAAAACCATAACGCTACAGTTCTGTAGCTAGACATACCCATGGTAATTGAGATATCGGCGTTCAAGATTCCAAAATTGAACTGTAGATACATCCCTAAAAAATTCATGCATTTGCAATAAACTTCAGACTGAAAAATCTTTATTTCTATATAATAATCTTCTTGAACAGAATTCCAAGCATCAGAATATTGAATGGAAGTGAAGTGACCAGCACAGAAAGAGAAAAGTCAGAGAGACATTATCTCCGATACTTCATGGACAAACAGCACAAACCAGACAGGTTTCATGAATTAGAGGCTAAACATGGTATGTCAGTTTCATTTTAAAATTTTTTAATCAGGTTTTAATTGTATTTGATATTTATCATAAAGACTCTTTGCTCTCTTGCCTTTCTGTGTTTGCATAAATGGAATTGTTTAACTGTTTGATGGATTTTAAAGAATTTTCTTTTTGAAGATAATCGTTGCCACTTCTTTTAATTAACAATATATGTTTTGGGATCAAAAGTTTCAAATTTTATATTTAGATTAGAAATAGAAAAAAATAAAAAGAAGTTTTAAAAATTCAGAAATGTTTTCCATTGTGTAAAACTTGTTTCCCTTCTATTATCCAGTTGAAATGTCAGACTCACTTTTTCTCTTCCTTATTCTAGGTAAACTGGAGCCCCTGATGGACATAGACATCAGTGGAGGGTACAAGGAGTGGATCACAGTCACCTTTATCTACGGTGACAAGCGCTACCAAGAGAGAGTCCATGTTGTCGAACCCATCGGGAAACTCAGGCTCATGGCTGCACAGAAATTTGCTCTCTATGCTTCGTAAGTGTTCTTAGTCAGTGTTGTTTTGTTACATACTGTATACAGGGAAATTTTCGCCCCTTTCGCCCTTACCTTGATTGGGTGAATTTAAAACTAGGCGAATTAAAAAAAAAACAGTATATTTTCTGAAGCAAAACTGTGATTGGCAGAATTTAAGACAGGGCAAAATTGTTTGCAAGTGTGAAAGGGCAAAAATAAAGTGGGGTGAAAATTACCCTGTGTATAGTATATGGTTTTTCTTCTTTTTTGGAAAATTTTAACATATTCTTTAAAAAATGCAAATCTATAGAATAATTGTCAAATTTTTGGAACCATGACCCTTTTGGGAAAAAATAAGACTATATTTTAAACATGGTTCAACTGTATTAAGGAGAAACTAAGATTTCTTGTAAACTTTCTTGACTTTACTCTAAATTTCAAATCTGTTCATATTCAGTATGTATATATACATATAATGTTCACTTCTGTGTTTTTTTTTGTATTCCCAGGTTGCGTAACTTCAAGATGTTCCACTACGCGTGTGGCCCCCATCACAGGGAGGATGAACAGACCTTTGAGGAGCTGATCATGCAGACCCAGTCCCTCCCCATCAGTCGATTCGACATCATGGACGGGGACGAAATCTACGTGGACCCAGCCATGGACGGATTTCAGAATGCCGATGGGAGCCTGCAGTACTTCCTCATCACAAGTTATATTACAGTGTAGGGGCCAGAGGCATGCAGAATTCATATGTTTGCTCTTTGTGTCTTTCTCTAAGAAACAACGAAAAGACTTGAATGGCTTATTTTAAAATGATTTTTTTTTTCTCCAAAGAATTTACAGTTTTCTATTGTTTTGATTTGTAGAATTTGAATTTTTGACAATTTCTAACAATTATCAAAATTTGTATACAACTGAAAGCATTTTATTTACTTCCATAACTAAATTTACAAATTTGTTATTGAGTTTAAAATAACTTCTTTTTACCGGTACTATTGTCTATATCAAAAGCGATGATCTGTGATACATTGTTTTTTACTGAGCAAGATCTCAAAAGGTTATACAGTGAAAAAAAAAAATTGTGACCTCCAAATATATTTCAACTGGTATCTATATTTACATTCATACTATAGAATGTTTAAAAAAGGCATTCGTACATGTACTTTTAATCAGGGCTCAACCGTTTTTGTTTTATTTTGATAGTGGAACAAACATCTTTACAATGTACAAAGTTCCCTCCCTTGTTAGTGTGTATACATGTATTTAGAGTGCTATGTTATTGTGCTATTATTGTGGGATGCTGGAAATTTTACCCTCCTTTTTGAATGGGAAATTAAGATTGAAGTAGACATCGTCTTTTTGTAGCTATGTCGATGAATTGTGTTTTTATATGGGAATGTGACACTTGATTGTAGGTGTGTAAATATGTTGATATACAATGTAGTAGGTTTTCATCTGGAATGTAAAAATGTAAGAAAAAAAAACATAAGTTGAACAAAAGTGCTTGGAGGTTTTGGGATATATGAAGGTATATCTCAAATTTGTTATGGCATCTCAATGTTCACGAAATTTGATGCATTTTTGTAGATTTATTTTCCCAAATGGTACGAACCATCTAAAACATCATTCCATATTTAGTTTTTCTTTTAGTTTCATTAGTAGATACATGTAGTATTTAAACTTCCCATAATCTTTACAATAGTAGATATATATAAACATACATTTGGTAGTTGATTATAACCTGTTTAGTTTTGTTAAAGAAAATTGTGATATTATATTTTTTAATATTTAGTTTTCCTCTCACACATTTTCATTTTACCTTTTAGGTCACCTGAGCCAAAGGCTCAAGTGAGCTTTATTGATTGAAATGTGTCCATTGTCTGTCCTCTTTGTTGTAATCTTTCCGCAAAGTATCCTTGGGTAAAGGGATTCAAATGTTCAAATAAAGGGCCATACCTTCTTCCGAGGGGAGATATTATGACTTCTTGAAAAATTAATGGCATCATTTAAAAGTCTTCTTCTCAAGAACCAATGTGCATGAAAAAAATGTTTTGTGGAATCATCCTGTGGTATTGTGAATTCAATTTTTTTCAGATCATGACCTCTGAGGTTAAGGTGGGGCCACAGATGATTGATAAATATTTTACATAGGAATACCTAGGAAAATTTTTAAAAAATCTTTTTCTCAAGAACAAAGCAATGATTATTTTATAGTCATATTTTTATGGAAGTATACTCAGGTAGTTTATAATCATGTTTGTTCAAATCAAAGACTCTCAGGGGTAGGGTGGAGCCAAACTTTAATATTTAAAGTTTTCAATACTGAACAGATTTCTTCTTTTTCTTGACCAAAGTGCTCAGGTGAGTGATGTGGCCCATGGGCCTATTGTTATTCTTTTGATTTCCAAAGGGAAAATATTTCCCAGCATTAGCTCGGTTTTAAATTTGAGAACTTGTACAGTGTTTTTAGCTGTACTGCATTATGAAACTGTTAAACTTTGTGTGATTTATAATCCAGGAGTGCTCTGTTGTCTTTTGTTTTATAGAAGCTTGTCGGGTTCAGGATGCTGTAAATTATTTTTTTTTAAGACATAATGGTTTACTTTTCTTTATGCTAAGTTAATTCCTGTACATATGTACTATTTCAATAGAAAAATGAAATACCTTTTTTGTATAACTGATTTTGAATAGTAACAGTTTTGGGATATTATTTTTTTTGTTCTGTGGGCATTTTCCTTCTGTATTCATATACATATAGGTAACCCTAATCTTGGTTACCTTCAAAATATGTGCTTATATTTAAGTAAATTTTTGTTACAACTAAAGGAGAAAGCATCCTTGCAGTGCTACATCTCCTGACTATACATATCATGTACAAGTAGTATTCCATTGTTTGTGGTGAACTTACATGTAATACACATTGTATTATCAATAAATATTCTTGATATTACATGTTTTTCCACTTTTGTATTCACTATGCATAGTGGTGAATGTTTATTTTGATGTAAAAGCATTAGCTGGTAAAACATTGTTATAGACAACCTCCAAGAAAAACCAAAATGGCAGTATCGATGTCAATTTGACATCTCCTGATACATATACCCGTTACATGTCCTTGTGTTTAAAGTGGCAAATCAATAAACCAAAATCTATCCTATAATTCATGAAAAATGTAACATTTTGATAAATTACAGTAAAACTCGTTTAGTACGAACAAGGATATAGCGAATTCACGGATATAACAAAAATCCGGCAAAATTCCTAACAAATCTTTGTAAAATTTTACGGTTATGACTCTGATATAACGAATTTACGGATATAGCGAACATTTTGATTAAATATAATGAAATTTACATCTTTTATAACGAATTTCTAACGATCTCAAAATTTGATAAATTGAACTGACTTTATTTCCTGTTAGCATTTGTATGTAAAATTCCATACGTAATAAAACCTTAGTTATCAAAAGTATGTTTTGTAATATTTGCTTCCCTTACATATCTGGTAGTAATACCTGAAGGAAAAATGCATATTGCGAATTCGCTATGTATAATTATACAAATTCGTTATACGGATATAACGAATTACGGATATAGCGAATCTATGTTTTTGTAATAATTATTTGACAAAATCTTTTCCTTTCGCAAACAAATCAAGTAATAAAGCAAACAGTAATACATATAATCTACATTTGGATTTTTAATTGGTTCCCTCCAGGTTACACAATACTATGCATATGTACATTGTATATCAGCAGTACCAGCACAAAAGTGTTTTCACTGGTGGGCACACAAAATGTTCAGGGAATGTAGGACTGCTCTTGTCTGATACTAGAGTTGTACCCCTTGAAATTAAGGATGTGAATCGTTCACAGGGTCCGTTTTCTTGACTGCTTCAAAATATTTCCACACTGTCACCTTTCCTTTAGTCTTTTTATAAATGTCACTTCATCTCTGTTCCTGATGCCATATCTGAAAAGGTGAATAAAATTGTTTCGTCACTCTGCAGATAATTTGAATATATTGGTACCACCTTATTAATTTAAAATGAAAAGTAATAATGCTCACTCTTTTAGAGGCTTCTTGTCTTCATTGAGTTTCTGTCCTTCAAAATATAGCCAATATCTTTTCCAAATATACTTCCTAAAAAATTAATTTATAAAGTGTCAAGTTCTACCCCAATAAAAAAATATTTCTTAATTTGGGAGAACAAAATTAGTTACTCTTTACAATTTTTTAAAAATATAGACAGCAATGTGCAAATTAAAAAATATTTACCAGCTGATGTGCTTCTTTCCTTTACTGCGAGCAAGCTTCAAGGTCATGTGACGTTTAATGGCATGTTTAAGGTCAAGGACAGTGCCATTCTGAACCACTACCACAGCTGTAAATTAAGACATATGAAACATAAATTTGAAAGAAAATTTTTATCAGAAAGTTGTGAAAATATTGCAGGTTTTTTAATGAAACTAAGGAATAATGTGAGAATTTTGTACATAATACTGACTTATAGCTGCAAAGAAATAACTTCACTTCTATTAAGATATTGGTCAACCTGTGGTCTCTATATGTTCAAAGAATTTTTAATAAGCCTTATACAGAAAGTTAAGTAAATAGACTAAATATGGCCTAAAATTGAACTTTGCTCTTAAACAATGATTATAAAGCTTAGCAATTAAAGCATTCCTTAAAGAATTTTGAAAAATTGAACATGTTAAAGTTTTTGGTGCAGGATTCATTTTCAAGTTACTATGAGCCCTATAATGTAAAATTGCAAGGATGCTTGTGGATATTTGCTTGCACATGGAATGATACATTTTCCTGATTTAAAGTTTTTGGTGCAGGATTCATTTCCAAGTAACTTTGAGCTCTTTAATAATCAAACTTGTATGGATTATACATCTAAGGATGCATTCGACCAGGCTGGCTGCGGATGTTGAATCTGACCTACATTTTCTGGATTAGTGAAAAGGTTACTTTTTTATACAGGTTTCATTTCCAAGTAACTATGAGCCATATGTTAAGCAAACTTGCATGGATGACAGGGTTCGACACTAACTTTTTTACCTTGGTGGACCGCAGGTCCACTTGTGAAAAATTATTGGTGGACCTTCTCAATATCTGGTGGACCTTTATAAATGTTTGAATTAATGAATGAATTATTACACAAGGCATTAATTAAAACTAACTTTTATATATGTGTTGTGTGATCTAACCAGCCAACAGAATCAAATCGATTAGGGACTAGTCATTTTTTTCAGAAATATTGTAAAACTTTAAAAAAAATGTATTAATCTACAAACCATAAAAATATTTTAATAATTATCATTAAGTTACAATGGTGAAACCTGCATTTATTTCGTTTCCAAAGGTAGATTTGATTCAAAATTCATTATTAATTAATATGTTCAAATATTAAATAACTGAGCTTTTCATGTATCTACATGATCTATGGCTAGATCATATTTTTACAACGTTGCAAAACTGATATAGGTACATGTATGTGTATAAATTAATTATTTTCTAAATTTATTATTTATTCAAATAAGTAGTGATATTATGTATATCAAGAAAAAAAAATGAAACTGTGGATAATAATTCATAAAATGTAAATTATGCCTCTTTGAACATCTATAAAAACACACACACAAAAAACAATGCATAAATGCAGATGTCAATCAATTCTAATACGTTATATCGCGATTACCTCGTAGTTATCTAACTTACTACCGCTCTTTTGCGGGGGAGTCTAGAAAGCTCAAATCTCACGAGATTACTGGGGCACATGGCATTGTTTACAGTAGTGACATTCGAATGATTTGAACATTTTATGCCGAAAGAACAATGCATTGCCAAGAATTGAATTCAAAATAATAGATTGTCAATTAAGGAAAGTTTAGATTATTTTATCAGCTTTTAAATGCGACGACTTGCAATGAAAATTTAATGAAAAGAGCCCCCTTAGTTATAAATATCGTTAAAAATGTAACATTTTAGAATTAGCTCCTCTCAAAAATTAATTAGGCTGGTTCAGCGATTGTTAAGCAAGGTATTCCACCAAGATTTTTTAATTATCTGTACTTATAAATTCTAAAATGATCGATCTTGCATTGTATTCAATAGCACATTTGTCCACATCCAACAGACATTTCCTACCTCCATCGCGAAAGAGTTCCGCTAAGTTAAGTAATCGCGATATCAAGTATTATCTCCAACTATGTGCGTTCAGGCGTGAAGCAATTTCCTGTTACCCAGTGTAATTTTCACACCTTTCTGTACATTACGTAAACAGAGGAGAGACTGGCTACTGGCATGGATTTTTCATGCTTCTTATTCAAGGTCCGTGTTGATTGTTCTTTCGTCTCAATATTATTGTTAATATTGGAGTTTTCAATTTTACATGTAAAATATATCGAGTTGCTAGGTCCCCCTGATTACCTAAAACATTATTACATGTATATTTATTCCTTGTAAAATACAGGTATGGAGGAATTAATAATTTGAGTTAGGGATGAATTTCGATTTAAAGAAAAAAACCTGGAATTTCACTGTTTTTTTTTAATACGGTGTTCAGATTTTAAGTGGACCGAAGGTCCACCCAGTCCAGAACATTTGGTGGACCTTCCAATTTTTTGGTGGACTCGGCCCGCCGGTCCACCGTTAGTGTCGAACCCTGGATGATACATCTTAGGATGCACCCTAATGAACTTGCTTCAGATGCTGAATTCGACATACATTTTCCAGATAATGGACCTGGTAAAAGTTATGGGTGCAGGTCTATTAACAAGAAACTATAAGGCTTATATAAACCAAACTTGCACAGATGATACATCAAGGGATGAAAACTCCCAGACTTGCTTCAGATGCTGGATTTTAATTATGTTTTCATGATGAAAAACTAGTTTGAAGTTTTTATATAGGTCTATTCCAAAGTATCAAATCAAAATTGCATAAATTTTGCATTTTTGGATGTACACTTTTTGTTGGTTAACTGTGTGACTTTGCCTTACTTAATGACAACATTCGTTGAGGTGAGCTCTGTAATCTCTGATTACCTATGTTTTTATAAAACATAGGAGCATTGCAAGAATTTTGTACATAATACTGACATTATAGCTGCAAAGAAATAAGACCGCGGAACATTAACTGGCAAAATTGGAAATATACAGCTTACGTCATTTCTATCTGTTACAATCAAAACATACAGTGATAGACATTAGACAATGAAATGGGCGGGTACAATTCGACGCAGACGTGGGGAAAACATCGGATTGAAACTGCAGATCGAAATTCATTTTCAATCCACCTGAGCTGTTTTCAAAGCAAAGAGTGAATGTATGATCCAAAAATCAACTAATTTCAACTCCCAAGTACATATTGTTTGAAGTTCACATTAATATGAGTTTTAGCTTATAATTTTAAGAACGCAAAAGATCATAGAAGACAAAGATTATTTTTCTGGAGATATTTGATTCTAGAAGGGGAGGGGGGGGGGTTAAAAAATTGGCGAGTGAGGTCATGGCTTAACATGACAATATATTATTTATTTCTAGGATTATAAGAGTGCATGAGTTTTATACTTATTCTCACTGAAAAGTGTTGGACAACTTTATTTAAAAATCGTTCCCCCCCCCCCCCCCCCCCCCCCCCCCCCCCCCACACACACACACACACCAACACAAAGATATACATATATTTACCAAACAGAAATGAAATGTTTGCCCCTAAATATTAATTTATTTAAAACACTGGACAAAAAAAATTCAAATACCAAAATTGAAATTATTTGTCTTCTGGGTCAATCAGTAATAATGTGCATTCTAGTGTAACTGAGGTGGATTGAAAATGAATTTCGATCTGCAATTTCAATCTGATGTTTTCCCCACGTCCGCGTCGAATTGTACCCGCCCATTTCATTGTCTATCACTGAATGTTTTGATTGTAACAGATGTATATTTCCAGTTTTGCCAGTAAATGTTCCACGGTCTTAACATCAGTTCTATTAAAATATTAGTCAACCTGTGCAGTCTACGCGAAAGTTGAAAATTGTTACCGGACAAAATGTCTGGTAAAAATAAAATTTTTACCAGACCAAGCAATTTTTTACCAGACCGACTTTTTTTCCTTTAAATCCATACATCATTATGATACTGAGATTGAGAGGGTGGTGGGATGGGGTTAATTATCACTGTGAAATTTAACCTTAAATAAATTCAGAGTGAAATGGACATTCATGGACTATTCATAATTTTTCTTTGTTAAAGGTATCTATACAATTGCATGTATTTTTTTCCTTCACATTTGACTTGTACAACATACACTGTATCAAAAAAAAATTCTTAAATTTAATATGCACTTTCAATGCATGTTTATTTTTCCTGAAACAACTCATTATGGTTACTTAAATTTGATGATCATTTGAAAAAAAAATCCCAACTAAATCTACGTATGAGCTATCTAAATATTTTCCCAACCAAATCTACGTATGAGCTATCTAAAGATCTCAAACCTTTGACAGAGGAAATTCGAATTAGAATAAAAACGATCATGACAGGGTTGTAATATATAAAAATTAATCAGTTATTACTGCTAAATTGGTCAAATAAACGACATTTGTGGGGAACTGAACCATGTTTACCTCTTAATTTAGATTTATTTGGCTTTATTTTTTACCGGACATTCGGTCCTGTAAACTGATTTTTTTCACCAACCCGACCTAAATTTTACCGGTAAAAACCGACGGTCCGGTGACTTTCGCATAGACTGCCTGTGGTCTCTATATGTTCAAAGAATTTTTTAGCCTTTTACAGAAAGTTAAGTAAATAGACTAAATATGGCTTAAAATTGAACTTTGCTCTTAAACAATGATTATAAAGCTTAGCAATTAAAGCATCCATTAAAGAATTTTAAAAAATTAAACAAAAGCAGATTTCTGCAGGACATGAGTGAAAGATGATTGCTTAATTTAACTGGATATTTCTCGCACATGGATGATGATTGATTAACAGTGTAAGATAAAATAAATATAAAGATAATTACATAGGACTTCTCCATCAGCTCTTCTGACGTTGACCACTATAGCCTGACCATGTTCAAGGGCGATAAATGAATTTATCTCCTCCAAGGTCACCTCAGGTGGAAGGTCATATAAAAGGGGGTCTTTCTAAAAAAAATATATACCGTATGTGTTGTGTGAAACAGGCAAAAATACAGTCTAGAAAATAGATTTGTTTGGTATATAATCCATAAAGAAATTGTCAGACAAGGAAAGGAAAGAGTTAAAAAAAAAAAAAACATTGAAAATTTACGGTATTTCACAGTGTACTGTTAGTTTGTGTACCTGTAGCTTCTTTACATTCAGAGGTGATAAAGCAAAAGAATTTCTCAACTTGAGAATGGGAATAATACCTGCGCTTTGCTTCAAGACACCACCCCTTGTTTCATAAAACTTACTGAGACAATATCATCAATAGCAGCCTCCACTTTTGACATGGCCTCCTGGTGCGAGAGCACCAGTTCTGAGGAGTCTATTTCCTCTACTTCTCCATCCTCTCCCGGACTTTTCCCATCTTCATTACTCAACTCTGTTGTGTTTTTACTAGTGTCAGTTACGTCTTCACTTGTGACTGGAGGCTCAAAGTCAATTGGATGCTTCTGTTCATTGTTGGACATTTTATTGTTTAATATTCTACAAAGATTTAAAAGATAAATTTATGACTGTTATGACTTTCCAATATATCTAATAAACACTGGTTATATAAGATTTTGAAGTTCAAAAGTTCACTATTTATCATATTAGTATGCTGCAATTATTACAAAAACTATCTTTTGGATTCCGAACCTTGGCTTGAGATGAAATCAAAACATTAAAAAATAATTGGAAAAATTCAGATATAAGCTAAAACAGAGAGATTCCATCATATTACGATAACTGCAGTTGAAAGAAATACCTTCTTCGTTAATTTTATTATTTCATATCCACTGTAATGCCATCATTCATCATTTGGCCATCCCAGTTCTACAAATTTTCCTCATCTAGTTGAAGTGAAAGTAGATCATTAACTAATTAACACGTACATAAAATTGATCAATTTTACATGAAAAAATCTTATACATTATTATGAAAATGCTGAAAATTTACTGAAAGTACTTAAAAGCAAAAGATTAAAAATATGTTTAGAAATGAAAACGTTTGCTTCACTTGGGAAATACATACAATATCTAAACGCATCACTTGTACGGTTTAATTAACAACCTTCAAAAGAGAAAGTAAAAGTTGCCAAAATGTTGACATTTTGTCCAACGTGTGCTAATGTTTTAGTGGTTGAAGAAGGACAGAATTGTTATCGATTTGCTTGTAACACTTGTCCGTACGTTCAAAATATTCAAAGAAAGGTATGTTTATATAATTTGTATACTTTACTGACTTTAGAATTCACTGTCATTTCTTGCAAAATGTTTGTTTCTTAGTATTTCATCACCTAACCTCTTACAATAGAAAGGGACAACGCTAGAATCTCCATTATTTCATTTCAATATTTCTGAATAGATAGCTTCAAGAAAGTATCCAAAACTGAAGGAGGTTGATGATGTGTTGGGAGGAGCAGCGGCCTGGGAAAATGTAGATTCTACGGAAGGTTAGTGATTGGACAGAAGTTATTTGTCATTTAATAAAAAATCAAACCACATGCATCTTGTATTTTTTTTGAATAGAAATTTGATTTGGTAATACATATAGACAATAGTATAGAGAGAAAAGTACAACCACTTCAATGCATTAAATTACTTTTATAACAAAATGCTAGGGACATATTAATGATTTGCTTTTACATATAATTTAAGCATCGTTATATTCGTTAAGTTTACAACATATTTTAAAGTCATTTGGAAATGAAGATCACTTCGCTATAAGCTTCAATTCGTTACAAGTGTGTTCATTATAAACATGTTTAACTGCATATAAAACATGTATAAGATTGAAAAAGGAAGGAGGGGTTCTATGAGTTTATTATATATCTTATTAAAAAAAAATAGATGCCTGCATATGCATGTATTGTTAAACTCTACCAGAATCAGTAAAGATAGTGGAGTTTGGAACATATTATTTCAATGAATTCACATTACTTAAAAAAATACTTTTGAAGTAAGAGGAATAATGAACAAAAGCAAATGTGCACTTGAAATGGAACTTGCAGCTGATTGAACAAATAGTCCAGAAATCTTCATTGCATGATCCAAACAATCTAAATATTGAATATTTTTCTCTCCTCAGAAACATGTCCTAAATGCAGTCACAACAGAGCATACTTCATGCAGATACAGACGAGATCAGCTGACGAGCCCATGACAACCTTCTACAAATGCTGCAACATGGAATGTTCCCACTTATGGAGAGACTGAAAACTCTGTAGACAACAGAATGTTGTGAAGTGTGACATTTTAGAAACAAAGTGACTCAGATCTGCCCTGGACATAGGAAGACCATTAATTCTGGCAGTAATGTACCTCAAGTGGGGTAGTGAAGGAGGTGTTTCAATTCATTCTTCAACTCTTGTCTTGATATTACATGTAAAACAAATGTTTGAGTGGTATTTTTTTTTTAAATTCATAATCATGCAAAATGTCTCTTTGTACATTATACAACATAATGAATATTGATTACATATTCATGTGACATATCAGTTTTGAAATGTCACAGAGGAAAAGTTGTTTGAATAGTTTCCATACAAATATTTCTTGAAAATGCTCATGTTAAAAAAAATATTATGAATTCTGCAAAATATTACTGGTATATTTAGTAATTTTTCACTGACTTATTTATAGTAATTCTCAATACTGAACTTCTTAACTTGAATGTCAGTATTTTAAATACCAGGGATATGTCAAAAAGATGTAGCAGTCCTAACCACTCATTTTTATTGTTTTGTCAACCTCATCATCTTGGATCCTAAAATATCTTGAAGTTAAAATGTTGGTCTCACTGAGTTCAACATAACAAGATTCAACTGTATATAAAATGGCTAGAAATATTACATGGAATATCGACAGGTTGTACATGTATGTACATAATGGTATAATTTTTTTATGCCCTTATATCCATTCTACAATTAGTATTCATTTGTTCCAATTTTAGGAGGGGGTGTTTCAATATCAGATTTTGCAAAGAGACCTAAAATCCCCTAATCCCCTTTAATACTCATCAGAACTGACTGGAATTATATGACTTCATATTAAATGTACTAGAATATGCTACACTAAAAAGTAGTAGTACCCGAGAGATGTCAATGTTCCAACCTTTTGATCATGACAACCTTCACCCTAAAAACATCAACTATTGGGGGTCTTAGGATCATAGGTCTCTTTGTCAGTTGAAGCTACTGTTGAGTGATCAAGTCATAAAAGGATTGGAAACTTAAACTGATTCATTCATATGTTTTTTAACTCACCTGAAACGGGCCATGATAGTAGAGTTTAGTAGGAGCTCCATTTTTTTTTTTACATTGACATATTATAGAAATAGGACTTGAAAATTCGTCTCAAGAAGAGTAAAGCCATGATAGGTCTATTCTATTTTAAAATACTGAAGCATCCTCAGGTGGTGAAGTTTCAATTTTTGCTGTAATCCTTATCCCTTTGGTACATTTAGTGTGATGCCACTTTAAAAGTTTTACATAGGAATACATAATTATATATGTAGGGGGAAAATATACTGAAGTATAACAGGGTCTAGTTACTAATGTGATCGCTGTTGACGGTCATTATATTTAATAATTACATTTTGTTAAATACATGAGAAGATGCTTTCATAAAACCGACCTATGGTGTAATGCTATTAAATATAACTAGGGAATATATTTTTACGACTACCGAGGTAAATTGCACTTTTCGCTGTAACATTACGAACTCCGGGTTATAAATCCTGTACTATTAAGTATTGGCTATGTAATATGGATTGTGCACGGTTTACAAGGAATCACTCTTATAGACAGCATGCTGTATTTTCAAGTTCGTGGCAGAAAACCTCAGCAATCGGCTCTCCTGTCATATTCAATCGACCACGACTTACAAGTATTCCATTAAAGCTTAGTCTCCCAGCGAGACGAATTTAATTGATTTCATCAATTTTATTTTGGCGACAGGATATTTGGAAACTAAGTAACGATGTATTTTTAAAAAAAAAAACTGGATTAAGGGTCCTCAATGTAAATTTAAACTAAGCACAAAAATGTAATACGCAATAACGTTTTAAATATTTCAATTTCCATTACATTTTGCATTAATGGCAACACAGAATGTTAATTAATATAGTGATCTATATTTGTTGAGTCATTATAAGAGTTTGCATGCATTAACAGTATAAAAAAGAAAAGAAAAAAAAACATTCATCTTGATATAACACTAAATGAAAACACTCGCGGGGTCGTGAACATATTAGACATAAATAAGTACAATAATTCAATTTAAATGCCACCGAATTAAGGGAGAAGATGTGTATTATTCCATTATGTTCTCTTTTTAATTTATGCAGTTAATAGAAAGGTTTATAGGTTGTTGGAGTTTAATCTACCGTTAAGTTGTGTTCTAATCTTCCTTTCACAAATTGGTTTCCGATCTTTGATGAATGGGGGGATAACAACACGTCTTGGGAAAAGTACTCTCCTTAACCCGACCCCTAGAGAATCGTGAACATGGTCTGACCTAACCCCCATGTTTTATTCACCGTTGGACTGCTTTTCTTTCATTAGCCGGGATTGATCGCATTTTTTTCACACCGTCCTTCAAGATTGATTCTGTGTTAGGATTTGTAATCGAAGTCTTATCCAGTGGATTTAGTTTATCGTTTGCGGATTGAATTTTCTATCGATAAGGAGTATTAATATGTTTTTGCAGTGTTTTCTGTAACAGAGACCCGAATACGTTTCTTTTTTGATAAGTAATTGTAAACTTGAGCTCGGGTTGTATTTACCTAACTACGAAAGGGTTATTTAGCAGAAGAATCTAGTAGCCTGGAATATACCTTAGTTATTTAAATGGATTAGATAAGTAAAATTCTACTGGGAAATATCTATATCGGATTGTATCCAAATTTATCGATACTTCCATGGAATTACGAAGGAAAAAGTCTAGGATATAAGTATTAAGTAACTGAAGGTAACGTATAATCTATAAATGTTCAAACCTTTTATTCTGCAAGCATCGCATAAGGTAAAAATCGATCTGTTCTCTCAGATCTATATAAAGTTTGATGCGCTGAAATGCAAAGAACACATTTTTATTGAATTCATGAATTATTGATAACCACTGATTCCGGGCGCTCTTACAGTTGTATTTCACACTGCATTGGGGATAGCGTGTTAGCAAATAAAAATTCTATGAACAGATTTGTAAATCAAGTGGAATTTTAAACAGCCTAGCTACTGTAAGTTCAAACTTGCCATAGACCCACACCTTGTTTTTAAAAGGACCCATACACGTATATATTAGTCTTACTTGCACACCGACAAGGGAGTAGGTTAATTTAAGAACATTTTAAATATCGATACATTTTACTTTTTAAATGTTCATCTTGTTGCTACATGTATGTCTGTAAACATTTCTGATGCAGTATAGGATTTCCATTATATTTTGTGGAATTAAAAAAAATTGCATCGAAAATGCCGAATTCAAATGAATGGTTGAACGACAATAATACATAAAAGAAAAGATATAATGATATCAATTTTCTTAAAGATCTCAGTATATAATATCTGTGCATTACAGACATGTAAAAACAAATCTAGGAAAAAGTATATTTTTAGAATTTTTTTTTTTAACTTTTAAAATTATAAAAACTTTACAGAATATATTATCTTTCATGTATAAGTTCGAAAATTAAACGAGTGCAATTGAACTCAGTCGCAATACTTGTATGAATATTAAAATAATGATGTGCCCCGAAGAATTCTGTCCATACATGAAAACTGGTATAGTTTCCCCTCCCCCAACCGAAATGTTTAACCCCCGCTTTAAAATTAAATGCTCTACATATATACAGGCCTGAATTTACGTACATGTATACAGTAACACCCGCGCTGTCTTTCCAAGTCAGTAATAATTATACATATAGCAATAATATCAAATTTACTTATCTCTGTATAAATGTTATAAAAATTATTTAGCCCCTATTTATTGGAGATTAGTTCTGTTATTCTGTTCTACCACTGCGGGGACAAATATCAACGTGTGTTCTGAAAACTTAGTTACATAGATATTTTTCAGAGGTATCAGCTCCCCCTTTAAAATCTCGGACTTAAATCCAAACTTTTCGCTGATCAAGATTTCCAAGTATAATTAAAAACTAAAAAACAAGCCCTGGCAACACTATGCACTCTGCTAGACGTGTTATTCGTTAGTAAATCGCCGATAAGTCTATTACTTCTTACACTGTCATATTAATTTTCGAGGTGAAGGAATTAGCAAGCTTTAATCTGTTTGGACAATTTCCGACAGAGCATTTTCAAGAATTTAAGGTGGTCCAATATAATCGAAAATCTCATTAATTCTTTTTCGTTTAAAGTATATTTTAGAGGGAAATATTGCAAGTCACCAATTAATGAGTCGATTGCACGTATATATAACTATAATCAAAGAATATTTACTTTGTGTGAATACCCCGTTAAATGAATCTTTTTATTTGCAAAACAGAAAAACCGATTCCTTTCAATTTTTCTGAGGGTTGCACATTTTATAAGAAAAGGTATTGGAAAATTGATTGAATGATGATAAGGCATTGACAATTAAAATGTGGAATTGTTATTTGAGAAATCTTTTTTCGTGAATATTAAGTAAAAATACATATTTCATTTCAGTATACCACACCCATTTTTGTCTCTTAAAGGACTAATTCTTTTCAATCTTAATTTATTACAATAGTTCTTATAGCGCCTTAAATGGATGTAATGAAATCTATTGATCTGACTTTACATATCTGACTTGGCAGAACTACTTATTCAAACGACCAAGCATCTATTAAAACGATTCTGAATTCACCACGATATACGAACTGTGTATAACATTTCGTCTTTGTTATATCAAGGCAATAGTCTGCGATTGACTTTAAACATCAATTAAATCAATTTTATTCATTATGTTGCAGATAAACCTTTCAAAATCGTTGTGCCAGGATAAGGACATATTCTGAGATCCAGTCAATACTGAATATCGACTGAGGTAAGCATTTTAGAATTTTTTGTCATCAAATTAATGTCCGATAAAGCGGTACCATGCTGCTTTCAGTAAAACCCATTAGTGATTAATATAAAAATGTATGATGCAGTGTCTAGAATATATTAATGTTTTCAAAATTTTCTGCAAAGTCGCGTCGACATGACATTTATTTATTGGCATAGGCAAGCAAATGCACCATCGTCATGCAGTTTTCTGTTTGCAGTACAATTTTCTATTTGTCGATATAATAACGCTTTCTAAACCACAGAAAATTAATATAAGAATAAATTGAATGGAGTTTAAGATCCTTTATTCAAACTGAACACATTTTCCGTGCATTAATCATATAAATATCCTCAAAACATTATGTCATTAATTGATGCAGATTTCAATAGATTCTGGCAAGGCAAAAGTGCACTTCGTTGTCTACTAAAATGGTATTTTCCCCATAGTCTATACATATTTATAGAGATTGCAAAGTTTTTCTAAAGAGTGGATTCTGGCACATGTATCAAGATATTTACTTTAAAAAAAATTGTCAAATATCACGTCAGATTTATGTGGCGTCTTGTGTCGCTGAACACACTTTGTTACCCTAAACGAAACAGAATGACGATTGTCTTTTTCAGTGGTGGACTTCGGAAAATTAGGGGATGGAATTGGGGCTAAAAAGATTAACGCTAAATAAATACCCCTTTAACCAAAGTAAAATCTTTAATAACATTTAACTTAACTATTGAAAATTTAAAAATTCATTAATCTGCTTTGAAATAGTAATAGATTACTGTTTAGTACATACTAGTACTCGATTCGACATGTCCTTGTGGAGAGGTATACCACATACGTACCAAATATCTCTAAATGAAGATGCCATGATTTTATTCTAAAGAATTGAAAATTCCTTTAATAAAATGCAACAATATTTACAAAAAGCTAGCTATGTGAAAGTGGAATTTCATTTTATAGTAATTAATGAAGATGCAGCTGGGTGTTTGATGTTACGACTCAAGTCAAGGTCATCAATACATTATAAGACTAATATATATTATAAGAATATAATTGAACTAATATTAAAATGATTAAGTAAGACCATCTTAAAAAAATGTTTGTTTGCCTTCTCCGGACTGAAAGGCTAAAATGTCTATAACTTTATTTAAACCTGCATAAAACAATATTTTCTAACATTCTTTTTCCAAAAATTTTCTTTTGTCAACATTAATACATGTATATTGAAATTTTCTTGAAAAAAGTGTCCCCACCTACCTACCGACCCAGCTTTTGGGAGACAAACAAACATTCTTTTAGAGATGGCGTAAATATTTTAAAAATATGGTATCGTTCTATGTTTTGAGGAACAAATAATCTTTTCTCCATGGTGATCTTTAAGACTTTGTGGCATGCAATCCCATCCCTGCAACATGAACCATCGATTCTTCGATTTCAATGAAGTCCAAATGATGTTTCCATTTAATTTCACTTGGTAAACAGAGAATTTATTGTGTCCAGACATTTAAAGTCATAATGCAAGTTTAAATACTTTGAACAATTGTAAAGAATGCGACATTGATAACCCATGAAGATAAAACGATCACTTGTTCTTTTTTGATTTGGAACATTTATTACACAGTTGATAGGAAAAACAACTCGCATATCATGTGTACATATCTAGTATAACAATACGAAAATCGTTACCCCACGCCTGGCACACTCAATGGGTCAATTTACGGGGGCTTTAGAAAATCGAATTAGCTTTCAGCTTGACTTCTTTTGCAGACCTTTGTCTTACTAAATCGTCAGAATTATCAATCTGGGGGAAAGATATTATCAATTTCAATATTTACACCAAAACATACCAAGAAAAAAATGAGATCTCAAACAAGACACAATTTTGCTTTGCACTATAGAACCTCTATGTCTTACGTCATATGTTTCCATTTGATTCAAATTTTTAAAAAGTGCCGAGATTCGTTGGCAAAAAAGTTTTATGTGAATACAAAGTTTGCATACCAAGTTTAGGGTACAATGACTTGTTTCTATCAATCGTTAGGTCTTTGTTTTTATACCGAATTTGATTTCAGAATTTTCCGTCTACATTATTAATACATATATAGGGCTCACGTCGGACGTAACCGGTAAACAAGGGATGATTACTCCTTCTAGGCACCTGATCCCACTTTCGGAATTTCCGGAGGTCCTCGTTTAAGCCCTCTTTACTGTTTTGTATTATTTATAGAAATTTCAAATGGCATGTAAGTACCTTTCTGACTGCACTTGTCAAAATGAGCAGACAAAAAGAATCTGTTTTATCATTAAAATAGGTGGTAGTTTGAAATTAATGAACATATCAAAATTATTGTCCTGACATAAAAAGGAGTACCGTAAGCAAGCATTGATTGTCCTAAGACTTCTTATGTACGCAGATCTGAAAAGTAGGACAGTTAATCCTGACATCATACAATAATCCACACTAGCCCCAGATGATAAGTTCAACAGAGTAAATAATATAAAGTAAGCCTTGCTATATATGGAATATTTAGCAAAATGATGAGCATATTAGTGATCTCAGTAAAATGCTCATAATTTATAAATTGAAGGAAAAAAGCATTCAAAACAGTGAAGTCATCGTTCTCAACATCACAAAAAATTTAATGTCAAGTGAACGGGTCTTTGAAATGCAAGTTTGATATAAGATATTCCATAAATATTAAACTTAGTCATTGATGAAAGAGAATAATTATGCAATGTTTGAGCAAGAAACTGTCTTTATTGCATTTTGTGCAGAATTGGTTGCATGAAGCACTTTTTATAAAGTGATTGCAAAAACTCATCAAAACTTAATCTGTGGTTGATAATGCTGAGCAATTTTCAATTGATCACCTTAAAATATGTTTTTATCATTCAGTCAGAATGGTATTAGAGAGCCTCCAATATAAGTTTAATCAGCTTATTATTAATGATAATGAATTCGAACCACTGAATCGATGCCATTTAAAAAGATTTATGATCGACTTATAAGTGGAATTTCATTGCATACAACACTGTGTTTACTTAAAATCTTAAAGTATGTGCAAATTTACAATGATAAGTGTTCATCTTAAGCAAGTGCTTCATTAGCTCACCTGAGCCGAAGGCTCAAGTGAGCTTTTCTGATCAAAATTTGTCCGTTGTCTGTCGTTGTCGTTGTCGTTGTTGTCGTTGTTGTCGTCGTAAACTTTTCACATTTTCATCTTCTTCTCAAGAACCACTGGGCCAATTTCAACCAAACTTGGTACAAAGTATCCTTGGGTGAAGGGGATTTAAGTTTGTTCAAATGAAGGGCCACGCCCTTTTCCAAGGGGAGATAATCATGAATTTGTTAAAAATTAATGACATTTTTAAAAAATCTTCTTCTCCAGAACCGCTGGGCCAGGAAAGATGAAACTCATGTGGAATCATCCTCAGGTAGTGTGGATTCAAGTTTGTTCAAATCATGACCCCCGGGGCAAGGGTGGGGCCAAAATGGCCGACCCAAGTTTTACATGGAATATATAGGAAAAATCTTTAAAAATCTTCTCAAGAACCACTGGACCAGGAAAGATGAAACTCATGTGGAATCATCCACAGGTAGTGTAGATTTAAGTTTGTACAAATCATGACCCCCGGGGCAAAGATGCGGCCAAAATGGCCGACCCAAGTTTTACATAGGAATATATAGGAAAAATCTTTAAAAATCTTCTTCTTCAGAACCACTGGGCCAGGAAAGATGAAACTCATGTGGAATCATCCTCAGGTAGTGTAGACTCAAGTTTGTTCAAATCATGACCCCCTGGGCAAGGGTGGGGCCAAAATGGCCGACCCAAGTTTTACATAGGAATATATAGGAAAAATCTTTAAAAAACTTCTTCTCAAGAACCACTAAGACAGGAAAGATGAAACTCATGTGGAATCATCCTCAGGTAGTGTAGATTCAAATTTGTTCAAATCATGACCCCAGGGGCAAGGGTGGGGCCAAAATGGCCAACCCAAGTTTTACATAGGAATATATAGGAAAAATCTTTAAAAATCTTCTTCTCCAGAACCACTGGGCCAGGAAAGATGAAACTCATGTGGAATCATTCTCAGGTAGAGCAGATTCAAGTTTGTTCAAATCATGACCCCCGGGGCTAGGGTGGGGCCAAAATGGCCGACCCAAGTTTTACATAGGAATATATAGGAAAAATCTTTAAAAATCTTCTTCTCCAGAACCGCTGGGCCAGGAAAGATGAAACTCAGGTGGAATCATCCTCAGGTAGTGTAGATTCAAGTTTGTTCAAATCATGACCCCCCGGGCAAGGGTGGGGCCAAAATGGCCTATCCTAGTTTTACATAGGAATATATAGGAAAAATCTTTAAAAATCTTCTTCTCCAGAACCACTGGGCCAGGAAAGATGAATCTCATGTGGAATCATCCTCAGGTAGTGTAGATTTAAATTTGTTCAAATCGTGACCTCCGGGGCTAGGGTGGGGCCAAAATGGCCGACCCAAGTTTTACATAGGAATATATAGGGAAACCTTTTAAAATCTTTAGTTCAAGTACTTCAAAGCTATGATTAGTGATATTTATATGGAATCATCCTCAGGTAGTGTAGATTCAAGTTTGTTCAAATGATGAACGCCTGGAGGGGGTGGGGTGGAGTAAATTCAAGCCTGATGTGCTCAGGTGAGCGCTGTGGCCCCTGGGCCTCTTGTTTTATACTTCCTATACCATTAGTACTTATGTTCAGAGGTTTTTATATGTCTCTTCTTATATGTTTAAATATTTCTAGACAAAATGGGAAAAACATCATAATGACAATGCATTTTGTTTGAGCCAATTGAGAAACATGATAGTGTTGATAAAGGTACTTTCTGGTAGGTTCTAGAACCGACTCCATCCACATGAAAAAAAGTATCGTAAGACATCAGTAAGTGCAAGATTATCAGAAAAATCCGTCAGCATTAATATTAGGGAACCTGTAAAGAGTTTGAGAAAGCAGTGCTTTGATAGATACACAGAGAAATTTTTCGTATTCAGACAAGACTTTATGTAAATGAGGATAATTCTCAATATGAACACAATGCTGTCAATGACCCTAACAGAAAATTGGAAAAATTATTAAAAGTCTAATCGTTTGTATTTAAACAAAAGATAAACTGGTAAACCTTTAAATTCATTGAGGTCAAGTGAAGTGTGACTGCTGTACGTTGTAAGCTCTCTGCTTGTATTCAATTAATCATTCTGTCCAAAGAAAAATATTCCTCTGTATATATGGAAATATTCCCTTCGATTCAGATTATGTGCAAAACAAACAGAACATAATGACGAGTGTTGATTTTTCTATTTTGCAGTGAACTATTTTGATAGCCGATGAATAGATTGAACAAAAATGGAAGACCTGAAATGTAAGTATTCTTATCTCTTAGAAAAATGATTTACAATAATTTCTGAGGTGAAGTTTGTTTTTCAAAAGTTGACAGGTTCACAATAGATTTATAATCTAATAAAGATCTGTGTCTAAAAAGAAAGTGATTTCTCTCATATTTTCCCACAATTTTCGTCGCAGGAACACCCTTCCTGAGGAAAAGAAAAAAGAAGTTTTCAATTCATGTGGCAGGGAGATCAAGTAAACGACAATACTAATTAAATGTGTTCTTGATAATGTTAAAATATTCCGTCACAAGTGATGAAGGATCGTTCTCGCCAAATCACATTCGTCACGATACTACAGACACTCTAATGAAGGATACAATTGATGTTAACATAAATCCAAGGTCACGTGCAAAAATGGTCATGAAAAAACGCGCAAAACACGTCCAACGAAGAGGAACAGACTTAGCTTTGTTTCCACCAATTTCCCAAACACCGAGTAGAAAGGAGGTCATTACGCCGTATGTAAACCATATCGAGGCTGAGTCGCCATACATAAGTTCATTAGGCATTTCGCGTGTTCATGACGTCACGACACCATACGTTTTACATACCCAATATTCAAAACACGATGGAACATCCCCTGTGCAAAAGGAATACACGAGAGTGTCCAATATTTCTCGTAACAACGCCGGGACGCCACAAAATCAACCACAGCATAATATAGTTGAAGTAACTAGAATTAGAAAAGACCAATCGTTTTCCCATGAAAGTATTAATAAAGTCGGTGGCTCTTCTCCTTTTATAGAAAGACGATCACGGTTAGAACATAGACGAAAATTAGCGAGGGAGAATTCAAATCAACAGGCTGCAAAGAACCATGTTCAAGAGAGTAATAAAAACGCAAAATTACAGGTTCAAAGTAATCAAATGGGACTTGTCCAAAGAGCCGAGAGACATAAGTCTTTTCATGATTACAGCCGAGCCAGAAACGAGGAACAATTTTCTATAAGGAAAAAGATAGAGCAGTTCCGAAAATGGCACGAGGAGCAATATAAAGACAAATTGAAGAAACTGAAGGAAGAGGTGGATAATCAATATGAGGTGGAAAACCGTAAAGCTCAAACGTCCAGGGTAGGAAGTCATACCCCACAAGGCAATATCTCAGTGGAGAAGAAAGATCGCCTAGAAAAGAAAACTAAAACAGAACCGCATCAACAATCGTCTTCCAGTGGTCACACGCCGCTTTTGAATGGAGGAAATTTGCCCAGTTGTTCCGTTGATGAGAAAGCGAGTTCCGAAAGGACTTGGCACACGTGGCGTGACGTCAATGACTCATATGCTTACACAAACGTTAAACAGTACATAGAGGAAAACGAACTTATGACAACTGAGAAAGAGGATTGGATTAAAAAGTGGGTTGTTGAGGTCGACAAGGCTATGCTGATGAAATTAGAGGAAGAAGGGCAAATACAAGTTTGATCATTGTAGAATTTTAGTTCAAAGCAGTCTGTGATATTTAATTGTAAAGCTTTTGTCCTACTGATCTCTGATGGAGGAGCCAGATTTGCCATCAATAATACAGTATTATTTTATTCTTGAGAGAGGAATTTTTTTTTTTCAGATAACGTATTTATTGCAAGGAGATGGGCAAACAAGTCGTGCATAAACAGTGTACATTTGTATACATTTTCAATTGTGAATTTAGTATTTAAAGTAAAGTGATCACCGAAGTTATGACAACATTTTCGGAGGAGAAATACCGTTTCTTAAGTCAAAGAAATCTCGAGGATTCCCTTCCTGGAAGCAAACACGCTAATCACTACGCTTTACATGATAAATATTGCCATTTAAATCATGACTGTGATATGACCGTTGAATTCAAATATTTCAAATATTTTGTTATGAATGTTTATTTTTAAAAAATTAGTGGGTCTTTGCTCTATTATTATTATTTCTGCACATGTTATTTTTTGTTTGGTAAACCAAAAAGTGTATATTTTACGCATACTTTGAGTATAATCTTTCATGAAAATGGAACAAAGACTCACTCATGTGGAAAAAAAAACTCGGATTTTACAGGATGTAAACGTGAAATGAAATTTCAAAGAAAACTGGGATATTTTGAGATGTTTCCCCCACGTTTATTTGTCGCACGGTAGGCTTTTTGCTCGGCTTGTTCGCCCAACTTCGTAATGGTGCAATTTTCAACACCCCGTGCTAAGAATTTGTTATATTTGGAGTTATTCTTGGCCACATTCAACGTGGAAATATACATTGTCCTTCGTGGAATAATTAAGAACAATTTGTTTCTTGGGAACTTAAGTTATCGTTACTGAGCTTGGAAACAACGAAAGTTATATTTTGTTTTTAACTACTGAGGTAGCGTGCACACTCCAAGTTCTCTAGATTTAGATGCCTGTGAAATTATTTAAATTATTGAGTTTGTTAATATATAATTATATATGACTTGTTAAATAAATTAATGTTTGCACAAGTTGTAAGTCATTATTCATGGGTTTTCTTGCAGGGATTGATTTTGTACCTGGAATATACTTCTGTCATTTCTTGTTCAGAAAATCAAGATCTTATTTAGGATGGTATCAGATATGTTCTAGTCATTGGTCGGTGTCTGCGTTAATCGGTGAAAGTCCACATATAATTATTTGGCGCAAGGTGAAAATAATGAAAAAGTAACAAAAAAAATCGACATAATGATGAATTGTACTTGCTGACAAGATCATTGTTTAGACCATAGAATGTGCAAAATGTTGACTTTAAACGAGACTGTTGGTTTTTCTGTATCTTCACCTTGTTTAGCAAAAATATTGTGAACAATCCGCCTTGTTTTAGATACCTGTATACATCTTGAGAATATTTGATGCATCATGGTCCCATCCTCAGGAACCACTCAGCTCTCCGCCTTCACATCAGTACATTTAAAATTAATTTACAAGCAAACACACGGAATCTTGGTGTTTCATTTTTCACTGTTCTTCTCTCTTCTTCCATATCCACCTGGATGCCACTTCTGCCTCTCTGCCCAGGCTTCCACTGAGTTGTCATTTCTCAGTGCCTATTACACCGACAATCCGCAAGCCCCCCCCCCTTCCCCCCGCATAGATTGCCCTACAAATCGAAGGAATCTAACTTCCACAGGGAGACACAACACTCTCCAATCCCGTTGTTTACAGTCTGCAACCAGATCCTGGTACTTAGTCATTTTCCACTCATGGGCTTCTTCAATTCTGTCCTCCTACGGCTCTGTAAGTTTCGGCATAATAAAAAGCCGGGCTACGATTGACCTAATATTAATATCTGGTCTCTGACAGGTAGATTCCATTTCCTGTGGAAATTGCATAAGACTGTTGAGATTTGCTCACATTTCCCAGTTACTGGCGGTCCCCAACAGTCCGCCTCCTTCCGTCTTTGTATTTTCTATCTGTTAAGGCTACTGATTATGAAGATAAGATATGTTCCAGGTTGGCTGGTCTACTACAAAGACTGCAGTTTGGATCGCCCCTCATGTCCCTTGTTGTTGGATTGGTTGGGGTGGCAGCACGTCATTATCCGACTAAAGGACAGATGATACAAACGAAAATATGGGTGTCTGGAATCTGGATTAGTATGTTATATTTTTTGACCTATTTTGGTTGTAAATGATGTGATTGATGAATTTTTTGAACATTAAGAATTTGTAAACTTTCTATGATGTTCAAAATCCAACCTTTTTGCAACCATCCCTTTTCACCTTTACAATTTTTGTCACTTAAAATTCTATCATTGTGAAATTTGAATAAAAAAAATCAAAATCAGTATAATTCAGGTCTTCCGTTTCAGACGGAAGACCTTATAGTGATTCTACTGTTTTTTCTTATTCTTATTATTATTTTTTTCCCCAAATCTTGTCGGCAGGATTTCTCAGAGATGGCTGGACGGATTTTCCTGAAATTTTCAGGGATGGTAGAAAATGAAAATACTGCGAGACGTTTTTTTCATTTTTTGAAAATTCACTTCCGGTCGTCAGATATGTCCGATTTCCGCTTTTTTCAAAAATATTTAATCCGAGTGAGATCTCAGAAACGGTAAGGGATTAAGGCACCAAACTTACAGGGAAGATAGATCTTGATAAGTAGGCAAATCCATTTGGGTTAAGATTGTCCGCCGTCACTTCCGGTCGTCACAGGAAGTGTTCATAAATATCGAAAATTTCAACTTTTCTTTTTTGAAATTTTTTTTGCATCACATTATAGCATCTTACTTGTAGTATTGAAATATGTCAGTTCCACCGGAAACAAAAACGGCAACTTCCGGTTATAAGAGAGAAACTACATAATTTGAGTATTTTTCTTTCCCATAAATATTTTTTATAGATAAAGTATTTGAAATGATTTTTGGATATGTTATTCAGACTGCCAATGTCTACAGTAACGTCAAATATCTTTTTAAAATTCACTTCCGGTCACGTGATTTCCTGTCCTCAAATTGAGAACTTATCATAGAGAGATCTCGTAAATGGTAAGAGATGAAGACACCAAACTTATAGAAATGGTAGATCTTCATGAGTAGGCAAAACTGTGTGGGTTAAGATTGTCCGCCGTCACTTCCGGTCGTCACAGGAAGTAGTCAAAGAAATCGAAAATTTCAACTTTTCTTTTATGGAAAGTTTATTGCATCACCTGATAACATCTTATTTCTAGTTTCAAAATATATCAGGCCCACCGGAAACAAAAACGACAACTTCCGGTTATAAGAGAAAAACTACATAATTTGAGTATTTTCTTTCAAATATATATTATTTATATATAACTCATTCTTCAGTACTGAGTTCAGATGTGTGACCAAAGGGTTATTTTTTAAAAATAATCAATTTCATAATTTATGTATATTAATTGAGTCAGTACCCTTCCTGCTTCTGAAAAAAATTGATGGGAAGATAATCTGAAGTCTTAAAGAGGAGAAAGGTGTCCAAATGTACAAGCATGTCTGAAATTTTATGTACGTAACTTGGTGTCCACAGTGACTGTTTTTTAAATCAATAAGCTATTCTTTTCTGGTGAATCCTTTTTGAAGTATATAAACACTAGTTTGCATGTTTTACTGCATGACTTATTTCTGCCTTATTCCATTATAATTAGAAAATATATCCAAGATTACCAATGGACACCGTTACTTACATAAGCACTAAACAAGTAACATGTTACTAGAATTTAACAAGTTGTTAAAATATGAAAATAATGTAATCAAAAAGGTATGATGAAATCATGTTTAATTTTATATTAAATGGAATTTATTTAAAAAGTCACAATTTTTATTTCTAGTTTCAAAAAAGGAGAAATTATGTAAGTAACATGGACACCTAACTCCGAATCAGGCTTTAAAAACGAACAAAAAAAAATAACAAGACAATCGAACACTTGTCTTTAATACTTTTAATATTTCATTTCAAAGCTTAGTAATAGACTAGCTTTCAAAGAGAATTAATGCAGACAAGTAAATTGTCAGATGGATTGCTATATATCCTAGGTCTTCTATTTTGAGTCTTGGATCTTTGTGTCAATGTTATGAACAGTCATTTCTTGTAAATCTGAAAGAAAAAAATATATAAAAAACAAAATACAACATGATGTAATCAACACATATGCTGTTTAATTATATTTATTATATATCCTTGATAAAACCAGAAAGAAGGCAATTAAAGTACAAATTATGTCACTACTTAAAGTTTTCGTGTCTCTGTTATGAACGTAATTGCATAAATGATATGGCAATATTAAAACAAATATTCATCCTTTGATAAGAGCAGAACAAAACTAACAAATATAGAATAAAATATAGTACAATATAACTTTATCATTAATAGATTATACAAATAATGGCATTATCCTGTTATTCGCTCCGCGGAGTGAATAATATTTGACGTTGTTGACGTAACGTCAAAACATTCCTTGGATGCAGAAATAGCAAATAAAACTAAAACAAACCTCAGTACGATCCATTTATCTTAGGTCAAGGTCGAAATTAAAAATAAGATCTCGGGTGAAACTAATAACAGTAATGAGAAAATGCATTCCTTACTAACATTTATATAATAAAAATGCAAATATCAAGTGTTTTGTTATTCTTAAAAATTTAAAGAATACAAATGTATGAATTAAAGAAATCCAAAACATTCTCCGTTTTCATTTATATATATTTAATGAATGAATAAAGTGTGAAAATTATTCGCACCGGTGCGAATAACAGGAGTATATATATACAGACGAAGTTCCAGATTTCAAGCTAAAATGACCAGGAAAGGGAAGTATTCCCGGGAAAAGGGTTTCTTTGGGGGAGAGAATATAAAAAAATGGGGCGTGGATATTTTTGGGGGGAGACACTCTAAAATACATTTAATGAATGGATATAGTGTGAAAATTATTCGCACCGGTGCGAATAACAGGAGTATATATATACAGACGAAGTTCCAGATTTCAAGCTAAAATGCCCAGGAAAGGGAAGAATTCTCGGGAAAAGGGTTTCTTTGGGGGAGAGAATATAAAAAAATGGGGCTTGGATATTTTTGGGGGGAGACACTCTAAAATACATTTAATGAATGGATATAGTGTGAAAATTATTCGCACCGGTGCGAATAACAGGAGTATATATATACAGACGAAGTTCCAGATTTCAAGCTAAAATGCCCAGGAAAGGGAAGTATTCCCGGGAAAAGGGTTTCTTTGGGGGAGAGAATATAAAAAAAATGGGGCTTGGATATTTTTGGGGGGAGACACTCTAAAATACATTTAATGAATGGATATAGTGTGAAAATTATTCGCACCGGTGCGAATAACAGGAGTATATATATATACAGACGAAGTTCCAGATTTCAAGCTAAAATGCCCAGGAAAGGGAAGTATTCCCGGGAAAAGGGTTTCTTTGGGGGAGAGAATATAAAAAAATGGGGCGTGGATATTTTTGGGGGAAGACACTCTAAAATACATTTAATGAATGGATATAGTGTGAAAATTATTCGCACCGGTGCGAATAACAGGAGTATATATATACAGACGAAGTTCCAGATTTCAAGCTAAAATGCCCAGGAAAGGGAAGTATTCCCGGGGAAAGGGTTTCTTTGGGGGAGAGAATATAAAAGAATGGGGATTGGATATTTTTTGGGGGAGACACTAATACATTTAATGAATGGATATAGTGTGAAAATTATTCGCACCGGTGCGAATAACAGGAGTATATATATACAGACGAAGTTCCAGATTTCAAGCTAAAATGCCCAGGAAAGGGAAGTATTCCCGGGAAAAGGGTTTCTTTGGGGGGAGAGAATATAAAAAAATGGGGCTTGGATATTTTTGGGGGGAGACACTCTAAAATACATTTAATGAATGGATATAGTGTGAAAATTATTCGCACCGGTGCGAATAACAGGAGTATATATATACAGACGAAGTTCCAGATTTCAAGCTAAAATGCCCAGGAAAGGGAAGTAT